AGTGATTGATTCGTGACTCCAATGTAAGAAAATTTATCACCATAATAGTAAAGTAAACAAATTTAACTGTTTGCCGAATACCTTATTCGAACAGTGAATTACACATGATTTATCCAATGTAAAGAAATCTACCCATATACATTATAGATAATATTCATTGATAATAGGATAAAAAGCAAACAGCAGTGTTAAATAATGCCAGTTACAAAGTGAGTATAATCTCTAGGATGCAGGTACATCAAGCTGATACGTCTTCGATTGCAGGAAACACTCATTCTGGATTCTACAGCTAGCCAACATCCACATATGTTGATAGTTTCACACGTACAATTATCAATAATTAAGTAAGAAGCAAAAGTAATTATTTGTAAGATTGAAAATATCTAGTTCAACAATTGACAAGGTAATTCATCAAAAAAAAGAGACGAATCGGAAAAATTATCGTTTATGGACTAATCAATAAAATTGAAGATAGTAAGTCGCGGTTTTTATAGTGAAAATTAATGTTAAAATAATATTTTGGCATTAGAGATGATGTTATATTGAAATGCGAAATCCTGAATCTAATTTTAAGCCCTATATTTCAACGCAAATTACAATCTTAAATCGCGAAATTAGCCCCCATATGCCCTGTCACGATCGAGAGTGAAGAGGGTTAGCATTCTTTCTAAGAAAAATCGAATATAGCCACTGCCATGGAAGTCTCACGCACTCACTTGTTGTGCAACATGGGTGTTGTTCACGAAGTTGAGGAGACAAGAAGCCAATGTCTAATGCTTTAACCATGTTGGTGGGTACGGAGGATCCACCTAGAGGAGTTAGAACACCCTCATTAAAAGCCAGTGGTATAAATCGGCCTCAGAATCCGCAGGGAACAAATAGCACACTAATCCAATGTTGGTTACTATCATGAGAGTACGACTCCTGACAGTGCTTCGTCGCTTTGTGAATTAGACGTGTAGGTCAAAGGCTCGTGAGGTGGCCTCCTGAGATTCAATAATTTGTGTGAAATATAAATGTTTAAGTGCCTTTTTGCACCGATATTTATGTGTTTAAGTAATCATAGTAATAATACTACTATTTTATGACCATCTTTTATTAATAGGTGAATCTTTCCAAGGTCAATTAAGCGCCTCTCAATGGTTGTAAATAGATTATAATCTCACCGGTGTATCTTAAAATTATGACAGGAAACAAACATGGAAGGAATTTGGAAAGTCTCACAGAAAGCTGAGAATTAAAGCTTTGCTCTGACTCATATATAATATATGGTGCTGATCAAAAAAATAGAGAGACACTTTATATGAACTAATTCAGAACACAAAATCTGACCGTTATTGTAACAGAAAAATTCGAAAACCATGTGATAAACTTAATGAAATACGGTGGATAATTTTAAACGCTTAATATAAATCAACTTCATGTCCTGTATTAACGAACCAAGTAAAAACTGAATTCATTCTGGCCTTATTATCCTTTAATCCACTAGGTAAGGTAGTGTTCAGTAATGCGATGGCGGACTAGTCAAATTTTGAAGCATATAGAGCTGCTTCCAGAAGATTGGTAGTAGTAGTAGTAGTGTCGGTCAGTCAGCTTCAACGTAGAACTTCGTATGTACGTACATGAGTTCGAGTAGTCATACCACACTAGCTAAGAGACGCAATTGTCAATTCAAATCCCATAGTAGTAGAGGTAGTAGAAGCGTTAGCAATTATCGAGAAAAATAGTGTTGGAAGAAATTAGTCAACAAGTATATTTCAGTGAAATAAATTTAAAAAGAGAAAGATAAATGTGATGAGAGATCCAGAAGAGTAGAATTTGAGAAGACACTAAGAATGGATGTGCCTGCACAAATACAAATGATGTTGAACCACCGGTTAATATCGTTTCGTGGACCCCAAACAGGTAGCCTACATCTACCGAAGTGGCTCAGTTCACTTATCAATGACTTCATGGATATGTGCCATGTTTTCGTCTGGCTGCACCTAGTTTTCTTCCACCCTACTCCTACACCACATAACACTGCTTGTTGAGGCACTCCCTGGTCGGCATACGTAAGACATGTCCCAACCACCTCAGCTGAAGACTACTTCATTAACTGAATCGCCCTTCTTACGTTGCACCTTTTTCCTATTAACTGCACTGCTTACTCGATTGTACCAATATAAACGAGAAATGCACTAAAGACCACTATGGTTGGAAACCAGTGATCTACGAATGGGGATGTTTCGCACCCATATAGTAGAACGGAGCGAACTGTGGGTGTGTGTGTGTGTGTGTGAGAGAGAGAGTAATAGTAGTAGTAATCTTTGTTTTACAAACCATTTTATCCATTTGTAAGAATGTTTTCTTTGTACAACAATCGGATATCTAAATCTACATAAATACATCATTTGTCCAAATTCTAGATTCATGTAAGATAAGTGAATAGACAAGAGGATACAAAACATAAAGAGAATAATAGGAAAACTTAGAAGCATAAATTCAAGATGATAATAATCTGCTTTCAGTTTGTCCAAAAATTCAACTGTTTTCATTCATTCATTTCTTTTTTTCTGTCATGTTTTATAAAATAAATTATCCATGTAAAAATTATTGAGGTAAATAAAATAGTTACACTATGAAAATGATGGCATGAATTGTCTTTTTAAATTATGTAATATGTAATAATATAACTAGAATCTGTGAAATAAATAAACGTGAAAATCAGAAAGTTTATTTTTTTTTTCTTCGGTACTCATTAAAAATTAATTATGTTAACGTATGATTTAAAAATGAACTTTTAACACTCTTATCTTGTTTTCACAGTTGATCACAATGATAGTTGAAAGGATTGAATGAGTTAACATTCTTTTTTTTTCACAAGTGAAATCCAGTGATCGATATCAATATTTTAGATAAACATAGAATCACTTGTCAAAGCAGTTTCAAACTAAAATGAAGTCCGATGGCTATTTCATTCTACTGTGATATACCAGAAGCATAGACCATGGTGTACACACTTTGTTGACAAAATCTGTGCATATAGTCTTTAGTAAACAATTTGAATTCCGCGTACATTAGTAATGATCATCTTCAATATAACCTGATCATCACACTGAATAGTTTTATGTTCTGTCATTCTTCTCTGTGGTAGCAACTACTCTGTGACACTCCACTGCATACTAGTTATAAGCCATTTTGTGAATAGCATCCACCGGATTACTATGAGACTCCATGAGTACCTTGTTATGCACGTCAATTTATATGCTTGAACTATGACGAGTTCACCTTAGTCGGTAAACGAGAGTGAAGACAGATGATCCAGTGACGCGATAAGCTACTCTAATCGGATTGTCTCAAAGCCCCACTAAGTAGATGAAGAAGTCTTGATATGGCGTAGAAAGCGTATTCTACAAGCACTCCGAAAATATAAGGATGACAAGCACACAAATCGAGTTCATGTAAACGTCCTTGAGAGGGCTACAAAATAGCATACTAAAATAATATACCAGCCAATAAATGCCAGGGATTTTCCGGGTGGGAAATGTAATCTCAAGGTCAACTGATCAACCCGTGTGCAAAAACGAAAAATCCAAAAATTAGGACGTTTAACAAGTGAGTTCTAGGGATCTAACGTTCTCAACATAACCTACAACCAAGCATACGAAAATCGGGATATAAACACCTTCAGTGTTGCGCTACAAAAACTTAGCCTGTAAATTATTACTAAGTCAAAACATCCAACAGTAATAATGTCTACTTTAAATTAACAATATTCAATAAATAACTAAACTTACTTGTGCTAGATTACTTATAATCATTGGAAACATAAATAATGGAAATCGAAGTATATTAAATAAAGATAATGAAACAAATGCTTTTTGTGCATCTAAAACATTCTTATCGGATGTTAATATATAAACGCCAAAACTGGAAATAGCCACCTTTATTTAATAGAAAAAGAAATTAAAAATGATTATGAATAAAATGAATTGAATTTAGTTAGTATATGATAAATAACGTTTGTTTAGCAGTTTGTTTCGTAAAGGACGAGGATGGCTACCTTTATAACCAGGTCTTCTCCTAATATCAGGGTTAGGGAGTGGCTGTAAACTTGAAAAAAAAATACAGACTGAGTACTAATATATAATTGTCTACACAAGATACTTGGAATACGATGGCCAGATACAATCACTAGCAGTCTACTATAGGAGAGGAGAAATCGACTTCCGAATGAGGAATAAATTAGTCAGAAACGTTGGACGTGGATAAAACACACATTAAGGAAATACAAGCCTTCATATAGAATCCTCGGAGCAAAATGCTGGGAGAAAGATCGAGGTATACAGTTGGCTGATACCAAAAAATGAATAGAACTTATAAAAAACTAGATGGAAGTCACACCAGAGATACATGGAGAATCCTGGTCGACATCCTATACTCCATGAAGGATAACAGATGTAAGTAATCATACTAAATAACATAAATCAATAAAACAAAATGAATTGAATTCGAAAACTATACTAGCAAGTCATACCAAATTTATTTTATATATTAAGGATGCATTAATCTACTCTTCAAAATACTATAACCACCAGATGTATGGCACGGTCGAGAATGGGGAGGGTCCGTATTCTTTATCCAAATGCTCTCGCATGGTCATGCACATAGAGCCACACCAAGAAAAGCATTCACTGAAATCATAAATCAATCAATGTTAGAATCAACATTAGAAACCAGGAAGCATTGGATGATTGTTTCGGGCTACAGTATGAGATTATCAGCAATGTGTATTCACGACACTTACTTAAGCCTGTTATTGCTAATGAAGCATAGGTCGTTGATCAGTATTTTCCAATATACTCTGTCCTGAGTCATCCTTTTCAGTTCTAACCAGTCGTCGTTCATCCTTCTCATGTTTGTCTCCATTTCTCGGCGTAATCTGTTCCTTGGTCTTACACTTTTCCTTTATCCTACAGTTCGGTGGTTTCCCTAACGTGTCCTATCTACCTCCAGCGCTTCTTCCTAATTTCTTTGTCTGCTGGAATTCGGTTAGCTCTCTCCCCGAGTAGGTTGTTGCTGATGGCGTTTGACCGACGGATCCGAAATATTTTACATAGGCAACTGTTAACAAACACTTGTATCTTCTAGATGATAGCTTTCGTAGTTTCACAAGATTTTGTCCCAGACATTAGCACTGTCTACGACCACATAAATAAAAATCCAACCCATGACTATTGGTCTTCAGTGAGAACGACTGACCTCTTGACCACTAGGCTACTATCCAATAGTGTAAATGTCTAACTTCAAATACAAAAATATTCAACAGTCTCCACACTTCTATCAAGACAATGATATGCATGATACACGGATTAGTTGTATCCGAATTTTTGTTGATTATAACTAAAAATGATAATTATTCAACTGTCAGAGTGAATGAAAGTGAGCAGAGTTCAATTTCGACTTAATTTCAAGTCTAATTTACTTAAAATATCAGCTATAATTATCGTTGAAATATTAAAGACTACCTTAGTTATTCAGGTTATCTTATCATTTAACTGATTTAGATGACATGAGATTAGTTAACAACTCCGATTGGAGCCCCTCTCGGGCTACTACGGGTCCCAAGCGCGCATAAAAGAGGAGGGTTCGCGATAGGGTTAGCAAGCCTATCTCGTAGAAAGTTAACTATCTAAAACACTCTAACCAAGCAAAATAATTTAAACCATTTAAACTCTGCCCTGGGAATTAGAAGGCCTTCATTTAGAAGAGTTATGACGTTTCATAATGAAAGTCAAGTTCCTTCGAAAGTCACATGGCCAATGCCTTTTCTGGCAACCACAGAAACCATTAAAGTAAGTAAGTAAGATTAGTTAATAATCAATAAGAAACCTTGCAATTTGACTTCTTACTAACTGGCACTAATTATCTCGAAATATTCACACCATATTAAGGTACCCGAACCTGAGTCCTCAAGTGTCAAGATCCAAGAAGTTGCTACTTACACATTTCTATCGAAAACAACAAACTTTATGACTAAGAATTTACACCAATGGATTAGTTGCTGATAATTGTTATATCAAAATGAAGATTAGAGAAGTAGTAACTCTCAGAACTAATTTATGGATTATAGTTATAAATATATATTCTTATTGTATGTATAATTATTAGGAAACTTGACGATTATGTACAGATACGTATCAAAAGCTCTCGGTTAACTTAGAAACTACTGTTGTACAGTTTCCTCTGCTTACACCCAGCCACTTGTAGCTCGTTATTTATATTTTACGGTATAAGGCAGTCTGGTATGTCTGTAAATAAGCAACACCTATATGAAATACATATGCTGTCGAGGATTGGTTGCTAACCTCTGAACTCAAAGACTGGGTATACAAAGAAGCTAACACAAATAGTGCATCGGACAGACACTTAGCTGTCGGTTAAAAGAGCCGTTCGGGGAGTGTAATAACTCGAGTTGAAGACATTAAACTAAGTCTAAAGTAAATAGCAGATCAAAAAAAATTGGAATCAGGATTCTGATTGGTGATTAGACAAATAATATTGGTCAGAGGTTAAAATACATCACAGCTACCAATTCGATATCTTCAAATCGATCGATTACGATCACGATAGATCAAATTATGATGTAACCGTTCAATGAAACGACTTAACATCGACCTTACTAATTAGCTAGAATTTTTATCGGATCAAAACAACAACATCGAAAAACGATATTTATGATTATAGTATTATGGAGATTGTACCTTTTGAAGGAATCATGGTTAATGACTATCTTCGAGAGGAAAATCTCGGAGTTCTAGTTAGAGGATGTGACCAATGGAGTTCAACCCTGTCTGGTGTAGGCAATAACTACCACAGGCAATGGGTGAGGTCGTGCAAAATCCCTAAATTGATAAGAGTTAAACATCAACACCTTTGGATGCCACCGGCTCTGTGATCAAGAAGTTAAGCGTTCGCGCGTGAGATCGAAGGCCTTGGATTCGATTTCTACTAGTATCAGGAGTCAAGACTGCACACTGCTGATGAGCCCCCTATACTAGGACGAAACAGCCGTCCAGAGCCTTGAAGTTTCTAATGGTCGTCTAACAATGATTCATCCATGATTTCACGGTAAAATATTTTTCATAACAATAAAATCTATCTGAAAAGAATAGTAATAAAAGTAGGAGCGAAAAAAAAATAACCAGAAAGGAACTTACAAAAAATGGTGTACAATGCCATAAAAATGATACTGATTGAAAATAAGTGAATTTTCGTAAAAATTTAACTTCTTGATTACGAATAAGACCAATCTCTTTCATAAATGATGGTTCCCAGGCGTATAATTTCAATACCTACAAAATTAAAAATGAGAAACAATATATAAAACAGTTTTTCCTATATGGTGTGGTGCAATGATCGAGATCTGATCACGATATGAGTTAACTTTGTGCCACGCCGCAAAATAAAAACTGGCTATTTGAGCGAGGCAAAAGAGAAGAGAATAGAAAGTTTAATTGGGCAACTACCGAATCTTATGTACAAAAATATTCAACTATGTAGGTCATTAATTGGTTTTCTCATCAGTCGATTTCTGATTGACTCACTATATCAACAATAATCAACTGTTTCAAGGAAATACATAAAATTATTCGGTTATTGAAATAACACAATAAAAAATAGATTGACTGCGAAGCCTGATAATTAATATAGTTTTAATTAGGAAATGAAGCAGAGAGTGACACGGATTGTAAAAATAATAATTCGATCAACATTTAAAATAACATTGAACTGTATGTAATGCAAGAGCCAAGTATTTCGACTATTACCGAATATCCAATGAATTGTGACCGTTTTGAGAACTTCTAAACCGTGTTAAATTCAATCGTAAAATGCTTACTTTCTAAAAGCATCACAGTAATACAGACACGTTAAAGCTGATGAATGTTATTACATTTATTCAATTAGGAAAATATCTTTTTTTTACTACATGGGGTAACATAAAGCCCAGTTCAGGTAATTCAGTTTATTTTACTATCAATGTACACAAGCATTTCGATAGAAAACCTTGTGTATAACACGTATTTCAATCAACATATTTTAAGTTCTGGTGTTGTCACATAAATTCCTAGATCTACACGAACAAGACATCTAATTAGATTTCTCTTGTAATCAATAGGAAAAAGATCAATAAATTTGTGTAATGGCCTTATAGACAAAAAATTTTATACGCGCATCATCTGATAGAGCTATTTTTCTTGTTAACATAACGTCTATGTAATGTAAATTTCTTCGATTGACACATACAAATATTCTACCTCTTTAGAAAGGGAAATCATTTCTCAACCAATGATATGCATCTGTCCTGTAGGACATTTTTAAAGGTCATCAAATGGCCTTCTCATTAATCCACTTCTGATTGGCTGACTACATCAATCGTTCACTGTGCGAAGTGCTTTTTTCTCATAAATGTTAAAAATGATAAGAAACAAATGATCATCTTGAACCATCCATCGATGCTTTAATGAAATTCAATGTTTTCTAAGTACTCAGAATGAAATAAACTTAAGAAATATTGGCAATTAGGAAATATCATTTGTACAAAATTATTTACTGCATACGATTAGAGTTTTAAGCATAATACAGCAGAATAATTCAACTGGTTATTCAAATTTGCTAAAATTGATTGCGATCTAGACGATAACCGACATCAAGTATTTAACAACAATTAAATGATCAAAATCTAGTCACCATAATATTCCTAGTCAAAATGAGATTCAAGATTATGTACAGTATTCAGAAAGACCTCGACGATTACTTGATGACAATCATTGATTGCTAGATTAAGTTTCCAAGATTATTTATTGTAAGCATAAAATAAGATGAAACTAGAATGATATAAAGGAAAAGCCCAAGGTTTACCCAATGTAACGGAGTCAAAATCACTATGTAGATGTTGCTAACCCATCCTGTTTTCTTTCTATTTCAGGGCGATCAAACACTAACGTTTGGAAGCAGAAGAACAAGCCCTGAATGCTCTGAGCTTACAGGAGGACTCATAAGACCTTGGCACACCGCCCAATCTGTTTCTGTAGAAACCCCGCGTGTTTAATTTTAAAAATAAAGATTGCCTTGGCGACGACTTCGTGTTCTCTCTCTTGGTGTGAAGTGTTGAGATAACTCTGTGTGTTGCGATTTTAGATCGGACCCGCTGTTCGGTGACTACTGTAAACGCGTATTACACCAACTCTACATGTATATAATCGTACTGACTATTGTTATTTGTAGTTCAGGGATATGTAGATATTATTTTGGAGTGAATTATGATTATCATCGAAACTAGAGACTGCACTATCTATAAATATCAAATACTTGTTTTTTCAGAAAGAAATGAAACTAGATAAAAAAAAAACTGAAATGAAATTCCGTTTCAAACAATTTCGACTTTTATTACAACACCAAATGAGACAATAATTATAATAGTAATGTTGTATCAATACGAAATGTATAACATGAGCAATATCGTCATAGTATTTATGTAATGGTGTAAATTGTGGAACATGAATGCGTAGATAAAGAAATATATAAACACTGAAAGAGCAAGTGGAGAAAGGATAAGTGGTTTATAGTATTCATTTTCCGTTTCTAGTACTCCTATCGTGTATCAAGGTAAAAACACAGGTTGAATACACTAACACTAGTTAGGTTTTCTGGAGTTGATGCAGATGACTACAGAGCTAAGCTGAATAGTCGTAGCCTATTTTCATTAGTTAGATTGTTTAGAAGTTGATGTGAAACAAACAAGGCTCTATTCACTGTTATAACTTCAAAAAAAAAAAACTCCCTTTTACATTCATTCATTCATTCAGTCATTTAAGATGTGGTAATTTACATGTTCAGTTAAATTGATGAGTCTTGATTACCACTCATTTGATGACAAGGTGATTAGCGTTTACCTAACCTGTTTTGTTTTTTTTATAGATTTACAGTTTACTTATGTAAATACTAATCAATTTTGAACTACTAGAATAAACAGGGTTGATTTCTCCTCTTAGTTCGAGCTCAATTTCAATGAACACGGTATGGATTAAAACTTTTTTTCAGTAGTATATTTAAGCCTGTTTTGGTAGTTGATGAGAAGACCTGATAAAATAGACAGTGAATTCATTTTTTTTTAATCTACAAACTCTATTTGTTCATCTTCATCCAATTTTTTTTATTGAGAATGAATTAAACGATAGACAATGAATTCTTTTTCTTGATATTCTTACATTAGTGAGTTGAATTTCATATAAATACTGAATTAACGCGTGATTCGACTTTTGAGCTTCGACTTCAAATCGACTGTCAATAAGCTACAACGTAGAACTTCGTACGTTTTTACATCAGTTCAAGTAGCTATACCACTTGAGCACAGATATAGAATTGTTACTTCGAATCCCATGGTGGTAGAGGTAGTAGGAATATTAGTGGTAATGAAGAAAATTAGGGTTCTAAGATTAGTATTCAAGAAGTATAATTCAGTGGGATAAATTTAAAGGAAGAAAGATAAAGGTAATGTTGAATTCAGAAGATTACAGTTTGAGAGAACAAGAAAAAATGTATGCATATAGGTTATTGCAAACGACGTCTCTAACAATCGGTTAATATTGTCTCGCCGACGCTAACCAGGTAGGAAGCACGCTTCGGTTGTCAATGACCTAATGGATTTGTGCTATGTTTTGATTTGGATTCCTCTAGATTTCTTCCAGCCTATCCAACTCCATTTATGGACTTGACATCCTTGCTTAGTACCTTTTCCTGAACCCCACAGCATTGCATATCCGATGGTCGCAGGATATACGAGCACCTATGATCGAATACTAGTACCCTACGAATATGCTCTGTTTTAACTGGCCATGTTTCACACCCATAAAGTAGAACGGACCGAACTGATGCACAGTAGACTCATTCTTTTATCGTTAGACGAATATCTGACCTACGGCAAAAGCCAGTCGAGATTGAATATTTTACAGTGAAAACAGTTTTTCTTATTAATTCATACGATATATAACTAGCTTTATGAGATCTGACTATTTCTAGAAGTTATTAAATAACCCTTAATCTGTTAAAATTGTAATTATGTTCAAATGCTTGGGAAATGTCTATTTCATGAAATTGTTATCATATTTCAATTAGATAAAAAAAGAGTTTTAAAAACAAAGTGATGATTAAAATAAGCGACTTGTAAATGCTAATCAATGAGTTTATTATCATTTGAAAGATCAATTGAATATATGATAGAAATGCATGACAAAACACAACGCAACATTGTTGTTCTCACGCGCGAACACTTAACGTCTAAACCGCTATGCCAGCATCCAATGGTATCGATGCCCAACTATAATCAACCCAAAGTAATACACAACCTACCCTTACCTACTGCCGACACGGTTTAACTCCATTAATCACGTTTTATCCCTAGTGACTAGCTCCGAGAGGAAATTCTCAGAGATCTGGTTAAAAATTAACACCGTTGGATACCGGCTCAGTGATCTAGAGATGATGCGTTCGCATGCAAGACAGAAAGAAGGTCCCGCCTATCGATTTCCGCTTGATTGAGTGGTAGATATACACTTCTGATGAGTCCGATACTTGGGGATAAAGCAGTCATTCACCTGCCTCCGGGTTTCTAACAATAATCGACTCATAATCTGAATAAAACTCTATAATCCATAGGTTTACAATTAATTACAATACAATATTATATTTATTAAACAAATAAATGAATATATATATTCATGTAAAAAAAACCCAACTTACTCGTATACCATTCATTAATTCATTGATAAATTTGATTCGACTATCAGCAAAAAAAGATTTTTTCTCCTAAATGAAGAATAAGTGAATGAAGAAAAATAAAATTTTTTTCTTAAAAACATTTGAAGAAAAAAACAAAAAATTGAATTTCATTATCAACATGATTCATTTAAATGAATTCATAGGAGGGGCACAACCAATAAGTAATCATGTTTCCAGTAATGTTATTGTAATAAAGTGAAGGTAATCATCTTAGAATGATGAATGATACAAATAACATGTTCTATGTTGAATAAAACAGAATGAGTTATTGTAGTAAGCTGAGTGGGAATTGTTGATGATACGTTTCAAAAATTGACAAAACTTCATGTGTATCATGACTCTCTAAGGGAAAAAACAACCAGATCAAAAACATTTCCCAGTAACACATAACAGTTACAGTCGGATTACAATCGGATGAGTCTCATATTGGTAATTACCAGACTGCATACTATTTCAACAATCGGATAGCATGGTGAACATGTAAACTTTTTCTAAGTGCAACTGTGGATTTATGCTAGAAATGAGTCAAGAAGTATTAATTTTGGTGTTGCAAATGATCTGAATCACACTGCGGGTATCTGAAGAAGAAAAAAAACAGGGTTTCGGCATCTCCACTAAAATAAGCATTTTTCAAAATCGGTCCAGAACGACTAAACCAAAGAATTTAAGAAATTATCTTTTGAAACTTATTCAGTCTTGGTATTAAACAAGTTACTTGTTCCAGTAAATTAATATGTTTGGATTGTGATGGTGAAATCCCTAGAACATGTTTCGTCTAGTATAGGACTCACCAGTTTAGATGTACTTCCACTCAGAATACTGATGTTGTGGTGCTGTGGTGTGAGCTACTTATAAGTAGTGTATGACGTGAGTGTCAACGTAATGTCTGGCAGCAGAAGATGGGGGAAGATCAAGAAAGGAAGAGTTAGAAAACAATGGAATTTGTATGAAACGCATGAATAGTGACAATGGATTGATGTTTTGCAACAGGAACAGTCCAGTTCGATATGATGGACTGATATTTTGCAAATTAACGATTTACGATATGGTTTTCCAATTTTACTGAGTAACTCTATAATTTTCTTTAAATACAATTCGGTTGCCCCACCTGTGTTCTCTTTCACTACAATGTATTATCCCCTAAGGGACAACGGAACTTTGTAGTTTAATAATTAGGAATTTATTACCAGAAATCTGAGTGTTTCGCCTTTTACTTTAATCTATGACTAAACAAAAGTTAAATATACTAAAACTTATGAAGTGAAAACATCATCAAAAAAACATCTGTTTAGGAAGTGTATACGCCGCCTTTAGGGATCACAAATACAAATTTAATCTTGAATATCAACGGTTTAATAACACGAAAGCTTTACAAATCCCTGATGAGTAATAAATCTTAATTTTGTCTAATTTGCAATATGCCTGACTTCTTATGCATTTCTTCTTGTTATCTATAACAAAGGTTTGATGGCTAATAGATTCAGCATAATTTAGAAGATGGGTACGTAGGTCAACAACATATTGCAGAAAATCCTAAGGTCAAATGAATTTACAAGCATTCAGCAGTGTGATCTCCAGACATCTTTTTCAAACAGCTTAACAAGTGATTATTGATCGAGTCACCGTGGTCTAAAATTCGCTTAAGCTATAATAGCCATCAAAAATCTGAAACTAAATTTATCGATTCTCTAGTCTAGTAACATTAAATCCATTCTACTACAGCATTTTTTTTGAAATTTCAACTCATTCTCGTGCGCATTGATTATATCATTTCCATTTTTACTCTTGAATTGTCACAATTTTAATTCTAACTGACTGATGATTTCAACTCTGTAATCATTAATCAAACTGAGGTTACTTCATTACACAACCAACTACCTAATGTTCGTTAACTCTTTGATTGTTTTTTTTTAATCACTAGTTCAATGTTCTGGAATTTTTCGTCTTATATTATTTATATGACCTTATTAAGTTAATTAGCAACTTCACAACATCATAATACAGATTTTTAATCTCTAATCACCTTCGTATATTGATAAGTACGTCACTATTTCTATAATAATCATGATTTAAAAAGAAAAAAATTATCAGATGTCGTCGTAGGCGGCTGATAATGACGAACCTAATGAACTAAATTGAAATTCAAATTATTTTGCAGAAAATCTTTGTTTTTGCCCGATTCATAACTTATATAAATATGTATGTATATGAGATAAGCTTTTTCCAGGGCGAAAAAAGTTGGTGTACACTTTCTACCAAAAAAAAATTACATACTACACGAAAAATAATGATTTACTACTGATAGGTTTTCAGTAGTACCAGGGAGTTGATATTTAATTGGTAACATTATTGCTATAAAGTTGTTAAGCTTCAGAAACCGTTTCAAACCCTGTTTTGTTTGTTTTAATACGTTAATGTTGTTTATCATCCGCATAAACTATTCAGGCGCGTATACAAAAAAATAGGTACAAGCTTTTGTGTCAATAGGGACAAAAACAGTAAAATCCAAGAAACATCTAGTTGGATGACAATCTGCTGAGAATAGAATAAACGTTAATAAGATGTCGATTCTCAGATTCAAAACAGTGGTTCCCTTTGATAAATTTGAATAGAGAAATAAGAAGACATATTTTGTGAGATAGTATCATTTCATGCTTTCTCGTCAATCACATACAACAAGCAACATGTTATTTGTGTAAATACAGTTTTGAAGATAAGGTCAAGATTTCTTATTTAGCATGACATTCACTCACTAGAACCATGGTAAACAAAGGTCAGCATACAGTTGTTTTTGAACACATAAAGTTGGACTTTTCCGACCAATCAAGATAGCTTCGAGTAGTTTCAGTGTGTGTAGGTTTTGATGACATGTCACAACTCTAAAGGCTGATTTTGGGTCAATTTGATGACCACTCATCATTAGATGTTTTGCAATGGACGAGGCTGGGTTTCTTGATCGATTTTGAGATGATGGGCTAGGTTGATGAAACATGGATTTGATTAGCCATTTCGGAATATGTTCCCCTATCCTGTATTTACACAAATAACATGTTGCTTGTATGTGACTGACGAGAAAGCACGAAATGGTACTATCTCACACAATATGTCTTCTTGATTCTCAGATTGTTGAATCACTAAATGTGGATGCACACTGCTGAGGAGTCCCATACCAGGACGAAACGGCCGTCCAGTGCTTCCACAGTTCTAATGGTGGTCTAACATTGATCGATACATGGTTTCAGAAATGTGTGTCACTTAACAATCTTCACAACGCCGTAATGTAAATGTTATTTGTATCAGAAACTTGTTGAAATATTTCGTGTCACAAGAATTTTATATTGTAAATAATAATATTGAATAAAGCCATTATTATTATTATTACTATTACTAGAATTGTTCTCATTATTAGTGATCGAATTGCATGATGACGTAATTACCCAATGTAACAAAATAAATTCCATCCCTTAATCAATAAATCTTATCATTATCATTATGTAATGAAACAAATTTATTCAGATAAACTATTGCAACATATTATATGGGATGCAATAACCCTAAAATTTGAGAATCACATGCGGATAACAAATCAAAATGAATAATTTCTTCCTACTAATTGCATAATTAAATAATACATGTTTGAAATTTAAAACAAAAAACACTTAAAAACTAAACAATAATCTAGTTATTCTTTATAATTAAATCTATTGCGTTTCTGTAATTCCATTAAAATCATTGTTAGATTACGATTAAAAACTTGGAACTACTGGATAGATTGTGGCCAAAGAAGTTAAGCGTACACACGCAACCTCACCGATTCTCTTCGGCAGTTACAGCCTACACCCAACAGTGTTGAATTCCACCGTTGGATGCTGGGTCAGAGGACTGAAGGTTAAGCATTCGCACCCAAGACCGAATGTCCTGGATTCGATTCCTGTGAGTAGCGGGAGTTGTGTGGATGCGCAATGCTTATGAGTTCCTCATACCAGGAGGAAAAGACCGTTCAGTTGCCTATAGGTTCCTCCTAAAGGTGATCTAACAATGACTGATTAATAATTTCAATAATAAAGACAATAATCTCCATAAGTCTATAATGAAAAATTCTATAAATCTAAATTAATACACCTAAGAAGAGATGATAAACATTTTTAAGCAAAATATATATCGTTTCAAATTATAAGCAAGTTTGATGTGTTAGGATTGGTGATGAAGTAATCTGACTGAAATTAGGCAACGAATATATGAAAGAAATTATTTATGATTTGATTAAAATATTAGAGAATTCAAAAGTTGTGTCCATCCATTTTGTCTGGACTATTTCACAGTAATAATAACAATCAAAATCCACATTTAGCTACGAGAAGTCGGTGAGTATGACTTCTCTCTCGAGAGAGAGAAAGAGAAGAGTTTAATCCTGTCGAGTGTGAATAAAGAAGGCACAACATCATGGATTCATTGAAGTTAAATACGAATACCATTTGGACACTAAGTCAGTAGTCTAAATGTTAAGCATTCATTCACTTGGTAGAAACCAACAATTCTGTGTTCGACTCCCGTGTCCAAAGTGTAGCGCAAACGCACTAGGATGAAACTGCCATTCACTGATGATTGATAAACTTTTCATATGATTTTAACAAAATTACACATCTAAAAACATGTAATATACTATTGACCTTTATTTCACATCAAACAAAGTGATGAATGTTCATTATTAATTTCTATTAGTAAATTGACAATTGAACAAAAAAAAAATTTTATAGAGTACAATGTAATCACATTTCATGCATTCATTCATTTAAAAATAATCTCATGTTAATTAAAAATATAAAATGAAATGAGATGATTTGGACAAATCATTAAAATAATGTATAACCTATGTATGATCATTTTCATATGATGAGGAATTAGGGTTCAAGTTGACTAAACTAGATAGACAGACAGACACACGGAGAGAGAGAGACAGTCATATTTGTCGCGATTTTACCATGTTGAATAAAACAAATTGTATGATTTAGTTAGTACATTAGACATAATAGAGTTGAGGATAGTTTTAATTATATGTATGTGACCATATAACAGTGAATACACATTTTGAAAACAGTCTAACTTCATGAATTATTTATACTGTGTATATTGATAATGCCATTAATCAATCGCCAAGTCCATACGATTAGAAAGAAATCAAATGAACTCAACCATCTATCTGCAAATAAGTAATAATGCTCTGCCCCAAAATATGCTATTAGTGGGACATAGATTGGATTAAAGCATGATTACGTTGTTTCACGCTGATTGGCTCTTTCGTATCCAATAGGCGCTAGCCAAAACTGAGGGAACGTTCTAGAATTTTTTATGTAAGAAAACTATAATATATATTAATGTCTTTTTCCTTTGGACCTTCTGTCTTCCATCTAACCCTGTGATTGAAATGAAGTCTATTCCCTGTTTAACCGTGGGAGAACGTCTTGAGCGAATTGTCTGAGAATAATAAGCATTAGGAATAGCTAGGTTGTAATAAAGAGAGAATTATAACATATGCCCTTCAAAAACCCGTGAAGATTTCAAGTACTATATTGAATTGAAGATTAATTCATCTATTGATATTGTACTGTTACTTAACCGAAAGTCACAGTCTGTAATATGAAACATTTAAATTCTCATGAGAGAGTTGTGGATTATCACCATTGAGTTTCATTGAAATCATGAATCGACCATTATGAAACCACGATTACAAACGTATGTGCATTAGAAAGCCGTTTCATCTTATAGTATGAGACTAACCAGACGTTAGCATCTACCACTACTCAAGCGGTAATCGAACTCAGCACCCTAGGTCTCATCGACAACTGCTTAACTTTTAGACAGCTGAACCGGAATCCATCGGTGTTTCTGTCTCACTTTAATCAATCCGCTGGTATTGTTCAACCTCATCCATTGTCTTCGTCTACCTCACACCTGACAAGGTTACACTGGTCATAGTTTCTCATCAGCATTCTAAGAATATCTTGACGTAGCTAGTCACTAGTAAGTACATTTAAACTGAATACCATACAGTAAAACAACATTACATACAATGAATCTAGTCATAAATGACATACAAATAAATTAAATGATTACTTTCATGTTGAAAAGTACTCCATATGGAACCTCTCTGGGGGGTTATCGTCGGACCCATGGCCAGATATGTTCCATTCAGAGGTAACATGCGTAAGTAAGTTCAGTAAAGTAAGTAAGTTCAAAAGTTTGATACTATTAATGAACAATTTTTAATTTTTATTATATTTTCACATTAAAAATCAAGAAAATTTTATCAACAACAACGACATCAAAATAAAAAAACTTACTTGGAAAAATTTCGATCGACGTGCTAATAAAACATTAACTGGTAAAAGTAATAATAGAACACTAACACCAGCTAATACAGATGGTCCTAATTCTCTCCATAAAAATATCATAGCAATGATTATTTGAAATGGTCCAGACCAAAGAATATTAATAAATGGCATTAATTGTACAAATTGTTGAGCATCGGATGACATTAAATTCATAATTTGTCCAGTAGTTGATTGATAACGTGCTTTATTACTTAATTGTAAACTCTAAGAAAGAAAAAAATAAAGAATTTTTGAAAATACGAAACAACAAAAGAAATCAAAAACTTATGTCATCCTATTATCGATTAGGATGATTATTGGACACATTTTTTAGAGGTTATGATGTTTGATCGGATAGGACACGCACTACAAAAAGCACCTAACTGCGTCACGAGACAAGCCCTCACATGGAATTCTCAAGGCAAAAGGAAAAGAGGAAGGCCAAAGAATACATTACGCCGAGAAATAGAGAAAGATATGAGAGGAATGAACAAACATTGGACAGAACTAGAGAGGGAAGCCCAGGACAGAGTTGGTTGGAGAAAACTGGTGGGCAGCCTATGCTCCATCGGGGGTAACAGGCGTAATTAAGTAAGATGTTTGATCGAGAAGAAAGAGAAAGAGTTGAATATTTATTGCACATTTCATTGATAGACAATTTTCAATTTTCTTTTCAATTCGAACAGTCATTGATTTTTGGCAGTGAATTGTTGAAGTATTTAAGGAAAAAAAAATTGACTTGAAAATAAATGACTAATTGAAGAAACAATTAGATGAAAAGGAGTGATTAATATTGAGAATATATATTAAAATCACAGTCAAATTTTGGGGCAGAGTTTTGGAGGTTTGCGTTTTTACACATTTGAAATCTGCTGATGAGTCCCATACTAGGACGAAACGGCCGTCCAGTGCTTCCAGGTTTCTAATGGTGGTTTAACAATGATTGATTGATGATTTCAAATGTGTTAACTCAAATTCTTATTTATTACTGCAATTATTTTTTAAAAAAATGTAACTGTAGACCCTGCCTGATATGAGATGATTACAAACGATTACAAAACAATGTTCATTGTTTTAACAAATTAATTAGTTTAATAATGTTACTGTCCTCGGTCAGTTCAAATTGAAAAAAAAATATGAGACAGATAGATGAACAACTATTCAATTTGATTTAAATAGACATGAAAAAAAACAGCAACACATGCAATTTGTAGAGTGAATGAGTTGAGTTAATTTGTATATTTGATTGATGGGCTTATGAAGAGGTGGTCAACATTTCAATGGAATCAGGGAATACAGTGGACAATTAGATTTGATGCAACTGGATAATTTGGACTTCGCGAATGATTTAGTCCTTCTATCCAACACACAACAATAATATACAGCCAATACAGTAGGTCTCAACATCATTATACTCAAGGGAAAAAGAGAGAGAGTCTCCGATACGACACACCATATACATCAATAAAATCGCACTTGACAGAAAAGCTTTGGAAGATGTGGAAATTTTTACATACTTGGACAGTATTATCTGATACAGATGTGAAGACATGGATTAGCAAAGTAAGGGTATTATTTCAATAACTGAAAAACAACTGGAACTAAAAACAACTTTCAACCAAAAACAAAGTCATTATTTCCAATACAAACGTCATAACTATTTTACTGTGTGGAGATGAAAGTTGCAGAACCACGAAAGCAATTGTCCGGAAGATACAAAACGGTCTATCAACAGTTGTTCACGTAAAATACTACAGATCCCCTGTTTAGACACCACAGCATCAACAACCTACTGTGGAAAAGAACAAACCAGGTTCTAGCTGAGAAATAAGGTAAGATAAAGGCACTAAAGGTGGATAGGACACGCACTGCAGTAATCACCCAACGATGTCACAAGACAAGCCAACACTTGGAATCCTCAAGGTCAAAAGAAAAGAGTAAGGTCGGAGATCGCATTACGCCGAGACTAGGAAACAGACATGAGTAGAATCAGAAAGGGACGCTCAGGACAGAGTAGGTTGGAGAATGCTGGTCGGCAGCCTATGTTCCATAACGAGTAACAGGCGTTATAAATTAAATATTCGGAAAAAAACACCTTAAATTTCTAAGTGACCATAAGTAAGAGAGAAAATTTCCCATAATATTTATTAAACAGATCATCCATGACAAATATATGTATTCACTTACTTTTCTATAGACAGCTGCAGTAATTGATGTTTTAATTTTCATACCGAGATTAAATACAATATGAAAATAATTTTGTAAAATTAATGATTGTATAGATGTATCAATAAATATACCGATTGCATATAAATAACCATGCCATATTGGTTCTGATTGAATATTTTGTAAAAAATTTAATAATAATCTAATTTGATTAGGAAAAGGAAAAGAGAGAAAGAAATCATTATTAAAACCTTTTTAGTTTGTTTCGTTACAACATAGAACTTGTTACATGTACGTACATCAGTCCAAGTTGTCATACCACATTAACACACAGAGAGATCGTATTAACGATTCAAATCCCACGGTAGTAGAATTCACAAGATTAGAATCCGAGCAGACAAACAATTGATTCATCTGCGCTATTACAAGTGATTTTGAACCCTGTTATTCAAAGTCTCTTCTGATCATCGGTTACGATTGTCTCGCGAAACCCGAACAAGTAGTCTATACCTAACAACATAACTCAGTGTAGACTAGAAAGCTCTGTTCCATGTTTTGGATCATTAAATTCTATGTTGTATTAATCTTTAAAAAGAAGGTAAAACAAGTGTTACATAGATGGACAAGATAACGATAACAAGTTGACGAGCTATGTTTTGTGTCAGTTGTCATTTGTAAGTAGTGAGATAAATTTATGTCAGTCAGGTTTGGTAACTGAGAGATTTAATCGCTCAATCTTTTTTAAAATGTGACTAAATAACTAACTCTACAAGGTTGTAGCTATATGTTTCTGTCAATTGCCAAATAGCATGAAACCATTGGAGTTACTCAAAGATTCCCACTTTTAAACTAGACACATCAATACACATTTTAGGTTGAGCGGAAAAATATGTTACGAATCCAACTGCTGAATATTGTTAGGTAACTTTGATGAATCCATTAAATAAAAAAGGATGATTTGACGAGTGTTTACCAAATCTATCTATCTAAATCTATCAGGATGATGTTACAGTGAAGAAACTTTTCATCATTTTCTGAAAATGTATAATTGTATTTATAGATAATTTTTTCTATGCAGAAGTCAACTATTTAAAGTGGAACACAGTGAAAATGTAATAGTGTTTCATAATAAAGCCAATATTATTGAACAATTACCATTATGATTAGCAAATGAAATGTAATACATCATAGTTAGTTCCTATTTTCTCATTAAACATTTTAATGCAATCAGATATTTGACATATTTTTATTAAGCGATTATGGAGGTTGTTGAGTTTTATCGGAGTGATGAATCAATCAATGTTAGACCACCATCAGAAGCCTGAGAGTACTGGGTGGACAGTTTATACTAACATAAGACTCATCGGCAGTACGCATGAGAAGCCGTGAGCAGTGGAGCTCAACCCTATCAGGTATAGATGAGGTTGTGCAACACCTTAGAGATTAAGACCATTAGATGCCAAATCAGTGTTCCATATGTTAAGCATTCACGCACAAGACCAAAGGTCCACGGTTCGATTCTCACTTGAGTAGTTGTGGATGTGCACTGCTGATGAGTCCCATACTAGGAGGACGAAACCTCCATTCAGTGATTCCAGATTTCTAAAGGTGGTCTAACAACGATCGATTCATGTGACCCACTTGAAGATTTGAACTTTCTTACAAAAAACAAGTAAGTAAAAACCCAATAGAGAAAAAAAAAACAACCACTACTTACTTTAATAACATCGGATTAAAAAATAACAGTATATCATAAATAAGCTTTAAAAATGCTGACCATAACAATGATTTCCCGTAAGTTCGAATTAATGCATATAATAGATAAAATTTTGTTTTACGTATACAACAAGTCGAGGAGAAATATTGTCGAAATGAAGTTTTCTTGACAATCACGTCATCATTACGAGTTGTATCGATGGAATTTTTGTAATTGACATCGGTTAGATTTTTGGTTACTGAATTATTATTTTCATTATCGGTTTGTTCATTTTCAATGGATTTATCATTGACTTCTTTTAGAAAAAATTTTGCCTGCAAGAAAAAAAAACAACTGAAGTTTAGTTATTTTAATTCTATTTTATGTGCAATGAATATAAAAGAAAGTACTATGAGTCAGTCAGCTACAACACAGAACCTCGTACGTACGACGTACATCAGTTCACGTTGCTATACAATATTAGTACAAAGATGCAATTGTCACTTCGAATCCCATAGTGATGGAAGTAGTAGAAGTGTATCAGTGGTAATCGGAGAGATCAAGGTTCGGAGATATTATTCAACAAGGATAATTCAGTGAGATAAATTTAAACAGAGAAAGATAAAGGTGACGAGGAATACAGAAGATTACAATTTGAGAGAACAACGAAGAATGGATGCATCTGGGGGGTATTGCAAACGATTTCGAGCCATTTCATTCAAAGTCTCTAAGCATCGGTTATTAGTGTCTGGCGGACTTCAACAAGGTAGTCTATATTTACATATACTACTTATGTAGTGAAGGAGAACACAGGTGGGGTCACCGGTTTGTATTTAATGAAAATTACAGAGTTACTCAGTAAAATTGGAAAACCATATGGTAAATCGTTAATTTGCAAATCTTCAATCAATCATCAATCCATTGTCTGACATTTCACTATTCATGCGTTTCATACAAATTCCATTGTTTTCTAACTCTTCGTTTCTTGATCTTCCCCCATCTTCTGCTTCCAGACATTACGTTTACACTCACGTCATATACTACTTACAAGTAGAGCGCACCACTTATATTTCATAACAGAGATAAAAGTAGTATGATTAGAGTTTTACAGTGCGGCCTATGCTTCATTGTGCGAGTTACAGTCGATAAGTAAGTCAAGTGCAAACGAAATTCGAAATACAAATAATCACATAATTTGGATAGTGTAATTAGAAGACAAACATGTTAAGAACATTTAAATTTATGAAAAATATAAAATGTCATCGAAACATAATGAAGTGTAAGATTAAGAAAGAAAAATTAGTGTGAACAATAATACAATGTGAAACTCCCCACCAAATTAGGTTTTTTGGGGTGAGAATAAGCATCATTGAAAACTTTTATACAACAACACAATAAAAGTCAAATTCCAACTGTGTTTATTTATTAATAGAGGAGGACTATGGATGTAAAAGTCATCTCTGCCCGTTATTGTTTTTGCAGCCACTCAGGTACAGGTTCAGATAAATCAAAATAGCTTCTCCTTATACGTGTGGCCACACATATACACATATTGAAATTGTGATAGACACATTGGGATGTCATATAGTCATTTATATGCTTTTTATGTTTTCAATGAAACAGGGAGCTTGGTTTTTTTCCTATGGTAATAACATTTACTGCATAGTAAGTTTTAGTGATAACAGATTTGAACCTATCGTTCAATATAAGGCTGTTTGACTCACGTCTAAACAGGCATTTTTAGGTTAAAGACTACACTGTGACCTTTCGACGGATTTATGCCTTTTAAAGGGTAATTATTTTCTGTTAGGCGTTTAGTTTAAAAACCTCATTTCATTTTCAACAACACCACTTGTACACATACAATCATCAATCCTACTGAATAGACTCTTCATCTACCCCCGTTTGAATTGAACTGATTAATAACTATGATAAATGAGGTATTGACTTGCCCAAGTTGGGTTGGTAAAATGCCGACCGCATACCACTTATAAAAGTACATATTTTCAATTAGGTCCTCAGCTAAATTTTCAAAATATGTCATAAACAATCAGTTAATAATGGTCTCAACTGACAAAAATCCATGACAACACCATCAATCTGGCAAAAGTATTCATCTTCAAAAGTGTTTTTGATCAAAGAATTCATGTCAAAAAGAAATACTTTGTCTTTTCTATGATATTGATATTACAATAAACAATCGATCAACTCTTTTCGAGTTGGTAATTTGGTTGTAAATTACGGTGTCTGAACATGTACCTTAGACGGTCACGAAATCAAATGACAGACAACCATTGTTTTCAAATTGATAAACATATATTTGAGACAATTCATAATTTGACTTTTGTTGTGTTATTGTATCAAAGTATTCAAGGTTGTCGTCTACCTCAATCACACGAAAGTTTAAATTTTCTTTATGTATTTAAAAACACCTTGTTCTCACCTTAAAACCCAACTTGATGGAGAGTTTGACATTGTTCTTTCTTAACCTTACACTTCATCGTGTTTAGATGACACTTCAAATTTTTCATAAATTTAAATGCTTTTAAGTAGGTGATCAGGTTGTACCAAATGAATTGCAGGAATAATTCACATGAATTTGATAAACTTCGGCTTGACAGGTTTTAGGTTAAATGAATGACTGTACTCGGATTCTGTATGCGCGTTTCGAGAACGCAGTATATATCATTGGAGCAAGATTCTAAATTCTTAGATAAGGAAGCCCGTCGTTCTGTTTGACACAAGGTCTGAACATTAAAAGCTATAATATATAGTTTAGAGCGGGATTTCAGAAGACCCGGAATAACACTTCCTGTTAGCATTAGCGATGAGGGCTGATAAAGGTATAAGAGAGGGATCGGTCGTGAAAACAAGAGAGGTATTAGAAGTTAGGGAAGGATTTGATAGTGAAAAAGTTAATCATGTATGCTGCCACGAATATGAAAGTGAATGCCATTTTTCGGCAGTCCATATAGTGGAAGGGCACCACTTAAGGTACTGGAAAAGGAAGTTGGGTTTACGTCGGTCTTAGCGACCTGGGAATGTGACCGCAGAGACCAAGAGATAACCGCCTGAGACCGATTACGTATGGAATTCTATGGGAAGTTTTTAATGTGTTAGTTCTGTTCATCAAAAGGCTTTAACGACGCAGACGGAAATTCGTGGGGTAAGGTGAGGTGTGACATGTTTAGAGTCAACCTTTTCTAACCCCGTCTTTCCTTGTGAGAAGGCGGCATGGTTGCAGACGCTGACAATTCAAAGAAAACAGCTTACTGCTGTCAAAAACTATATAAGTAGCAGTAAGATTTCGCATTCAAACTTGAAGTTGCTGCTTTTTGTCATTTCGTTCTCCGATCGACCTGCCTGACATGGTAGTGTCTAAAGGAACATGTGCTACAGCCAATATATTTCGGTTGGGTCACCATTAAGGAAAAGAGTGACTACTACATCAAGGTAGCAGCTACGGTTTGGGTTGGTTAGTTTAACTATGCTTAAACATCTGATTTCTTGATGAAATATCGAACTGATGCTGACTACATTAAAACCCAAGATTTACATATATGTATTTGTATTAAAAAAAGCAGAGATTACTTATTGTTTACCAGCCAACTGCAGTAAAAGAAATGTAGTCTGTTGTAAGATGTTACCTATATATATATGTATGTCTGACTTGACAGATATATTACGCTATAAGTAAACAACTACGTAATTTCTAATCAATAACATCAAATAAAAAAAATGTTAGTATGCGGTTGTGGAGAATATTACGTCTGAATAAAATCATGAATCAATCAACGTTAGAACACCATTACAATCCTGAAAGCACTGGGCTGACATAGAATGATGCCTCAGTGGTCAAGAGATTAGGTGTTCGAATGAAATGCATCGGTCTCTGGGTTTTATTCCCGTTGTTCAGTCGTCCTATTATAGGATGAAATGATCATTCAGTGCTTCGAGGTTTCTAATGGTGGTCTAACATTGGTTGGTTCATAATTTTTACAAATAAAAGATAATTCATGTATATCAACGAATAAATACTTCATTAATTAAAAACGGATTACATTTTCATTTTTCGGTGTATAACTCGGAGAACCCGTAGGTATCTCTGATAATTCTGGCATATATTCTGGTTTAGAACCAATACGTATACGTACAGATCGACGCGTTGATTGATCTTTTGAATGATCTATAACAGTAAATAATAAGCAAAATAATAAATAATATCAGTAGAATTTATGTGTCAAGATTAATTGTGCATAAAAATAAACTACCAGCTTTAGTTTATATAGTAAACATACGAAAAAGAAGAAGAGTGTACATAAAAATTATCAAGGATACAGGCAAATTCGACAAGCAAGATTTTTGTAAGGAATAAATGGTTAAAGAAAGCAAATATCATTTACATAATAAATTGCTCAGACTCTGTGAAAAACAATACATCGGACAAAGTGGATGTCCTCTTTAACTTCGTCTGCATGAACACCAATTAGCAGTCAAAGGCAATAATATTTCTTCCCTTATATCAATAGATTACAGACAAGTATGAACATAAATTCTATTGGAACAATGTTGAAATACTAGACAGAGGGATAACAAAGAGCTCTAGAGAATTTTTAGAAGTTTGGCACTCAGGTCAATTAGAAATCAACAAACACATCGACAATGTACTCACCAGTGACTAGTTTCGTGAGGAAAGTCACGTAATTCTAAAGAGCAGACGTGACTAGTGGAGTGCAACCCTGTCGGGGGTAGGCAGTAATTACAAAAGACAATGGGTGAGGTCGCACAAAATCCCTATATAAATTAGAGTTAGGCATTAACACATTTAGATCAGTAGTCTAAAAGTTAGGATTTCGCGCGCAAGACCGAAGGTTCTGGGTTTGAATCCTGGGAGTAGTTTGATCGTAAATGCACACTGCCGATGAGACTCATAGCAGGAAGAAACGGTCGTCTAGTGCTTCCATGTATCTGATCGTGGTCTAAGAATGATTGATTCATGATTTCAGTTATTATAAGGAAAATAGTGAACAAACATAAATAAGATTAAGAACCAGATCATAGAAGGATACAATCAAAATAAAGATGCAGGCAACCATATGCGAAATGTGCAGAACGACTAGTCAACGTCAAGGACAAGCTACGAATCATACTTGGAGTAATTTGAAGCCTTCACTTCTACACAAAGTTTTTGCTGCTGCTGATGATGTTTTCCAAAACCAAAACATCCAACTCACAGAACGAAACTCCATTACGAAAAAACCGCAAACACGAGTAAACATTGAGTAAATAAACTGACTGTGTAATAGAGACAGACTAGCAGCGAAATTTCAAGATATGCAACATATTTATAATTTGTCCTGTTGTTGTTACTGGTATTTACACTCAAAACTGTAAATCAGTATCTGTCTACCGACTAACTGCATTAAAATATCAAACGACTTGTTCAGTAGGTGTAATGCTTATTGTTTTACATAAAAAAATTGTATTTTCTTATCAGTAACAATAATAAGATTGATGGTGTTTATGACTGGAAAAAAAGATAGGAACAGAACAAATTTACTATGATGTAATAAATTTTAAGGTGTCATTAAGAATTTTCAACTGATGATAATTACTATTGCCAACTTGATCAGTGACACTTTTTTCATACATTTGATGTTAGGGTTAGTTAGTTGGCAAGAAATCTACATGTCCTACTAGCTGACATCATCACCAAGGTGTACTTAACAGTAAGTATTGAAGGAACTGATTCGTCTGATATGCTCGAATCAGGGTAAAATAGTTTCAACTCATCATCGACGGGATTCGATCAACGCTAAGGATTATACAAACAGGAGATTGATCACTATTCATTGATCAATCAATGTACACTACAAACACAATAAGAAGTAATAATCATTAATTTTATGAGTAATTTGAACTTTATTTGTGTTATACTGTTGTAATCAGAAAGAAAGCGAGAGAACAAACTAGATTCCAGCCGAGCAAGAAGTTCAGAAAAAGAGCTAGTAGTGGGGCTATGACAAATACTGAGAAAATCACTAGACTGCATTCATTACAAGGCTACACTTCACTTGGAATCCTCAAGGCCAAAGTAACACATTGCACCGATAATTGGGAGCAGAAATGAAAAAAATGAATAAGATTTGGATAGAACTGGAAAAGAAGGAGCAGGACAGAGTAGGTCGTAGAATGCTTGCCTGCGGCCTATGATCCACCAATAGGGATAACAGAAGTAATATATATATATATATATATATATATATATATATATACAGAATAATTTCACATGTTTGAAGTTCACTGTTTTTATCCCTATACAAAATCTACAAGAGTACATTGATCAATCTGTAACACAATTGAAGCTGTTTGTAATTTCTTCAAAAAGTAAATCAATGGACACATGAAAGACAGTAAAAAAAAATAATAAAAACCATACATGAGCATAGTTAAAGAATAGAAAAAGATTTAATAACAACTTATATCCTGTAACAATGTTATCATCATGCCCTTAGACAACAAAATCTGTTCAATTAAATGAAACGTTATAAATAGGATAGACAGATAAAGAATTAAGGAAGTTAACAGGAAGAAAGAAGACAAAAAAATTCAGATGGCAAACAATAAGACTCTAAGATCAATTTTCAATGTAATAATAAAAAGAAAAAACAACTGTCATGTCACTGTGCTCAGTTGAATTCGGAACTATACATCTATAAATAAATAATTTTTGGGAATAATTATTTGTTTTTTTCAAATAATAATAATAATGTCTAGTTTAATGTATTAAGGGTTAGCTATTTTACATAGCCATACATATTATCGATACAGATATATAAATATATTTTAACAGAGAACAAGGAAAAGTATCACAAATATCATTGATAGTCAGTCAGTCAGTCAGCTACAACATGGAACTTGGTACATGTATGAACATCAGTTCAAGGTGACATAACACATTAGCAAACACAGATCGAAATTTTATTAGCGGCCGCGCCTAGCTTTCTTCCAACCTACCCCTACATTACAAGACATCGTTCATCGAGGCAGCCAGTGGTGAGGCATACGTAGCACATTCATAACCACCTCAACTAATTCACTCATTCATCTATTGATATTCCATCAGTGGTCACAGGATATGTAAGCAATGCTTCGAAGAAACCTATGGTTGAAAACCAGTAACCTACAAATATCTTTTACTCTTACTAACATGCTTCACGCCCATAGAGTAGGACAAAGAGAACTTCTGCGAAATAAACTCGTCCTTTGGTTAGTAGACAGGATATCTCGCCTACCAGTTGGAAAAAGCCAATCGAGCCTTCTGAGTCCATGCTGAGATCTTGTCAGGATTGATGAGACTCACAAGATGAGTGAAGCAGTAAACACGGTCAACAACTTCACTCTCTATCTTCTGTTCAACACGTATTGAACCCCACTCATCATAGCCTCTCAATTTATATATTGAAATAAAAATGTATCTTAATCCTGCATAAAAAACGTAGCACAGACTATAATAAACAATAAACAGGTAATATTCCCTATCCTCATTCATAATATTTAACAAATCATTCAACAAACATATTTGTGAAATAATGAATCAATCATTATTAGACCACCATTCAAAATCTGTAAGCAATTGGACGGCAGTTTCATCCTGATATGCAACTCACCGGCAGTGTGCATGCTCGAGTCCCGCAACGCTCAGGATTCGAACCCAGAACCTTACGCGAGAACGCCTAACCTCTGGATCACTGAGCCGGTATCTTATGATGTTAACATCTAACTTCGAACAATCCACCGTCTTGCGCATCTTCATCCACTGGTCTTTGATGAGCACTGATTCACACCCGAAGACGGTTAAATTCCAAAAATGAGTCCTACACCATGACGAAACGGCCATTCAGTGCTCCCAAGTTCCGAATGATGGTCTAACAATGATCAATTCACGATTTCAAAATGTTACTCACCAATCTCCACAACCACATACTGTCCATATGATCTGTGTTTACACTATAGGTTAGATTTAATTGAAAAAGTTTTTTTATTCACACAATTGAGAAAAGAAAGCAAACACAATTCCTTCTTTCTCTCTCTCTCTCTTTTTATCCTTTTCCGTTATGAAAAAAACACACTAAATATTCCAAGGAAATAATAATAATAATAATTTTTCAGAAGAAAAAGGAAAATGAAAAATTACCGTTCATTGTAGCATCATTTGCTGAGGAATCATGATTTGTTGAATCCATCGGTGTTTCATCATGTGAATGAGTTTTCAGTTTGATTGCATTTAAATTGCTTTCAGAATAACTGTCAGTTAAATTGATAGTCTTTTTATCATTATTATTATTATGATTATTATTATTATCAACAGGAGTAGTAGTTGTTGCATTGCTACTACTAAACAATAAAGTAACACCTTCACTAGCTCGTCTAATATTGATATCATCCAAATAAGTTTTAGTTAAACCAGATTTATGCGAATGTTTATTCACTTGTGGTATACGAAAACCTAAACTACTTTGTGCTGATGTACGTCGTAGTTCATTATCTGTTGAATTATGATCATTAGTGCTTCCATGATATAAAATATTATTACCCATAGATGCACGACGTTTTTCACTGAATATTGACAAATAAATATTTTTAAAAAAATGTATATATAAAATATAATTGATATCGAAGAAGAAGAATAATGTAATTTATAAAGTGAAAACAATCATATTCGAAATAATAACTTTGAAATTGATTTGTGTTAGACAAGCATTGGGAACTTGGAAGTATTGAAATGACATTTTGTCCTTTTAATATGGAATGCGTGATCATCAGTAGTAAACATGCACTAATCCATTAGCATGAATCGAACACAGAACCTTCGGTCCCATGAGCAAATGCCTAACTCCTGCACCAATGAACCGGTATCTAAAGGTATTAATATATTTTGGGGCACAGTTCTGGAGGTTTGCGTTTTTACACATTTGAAATCGTCAATCAATCATTGTTAGACCACCATTAGAAACCTGGAAGCACTGGACAGCCGTTTCGACCTGGTATGGGACTCATCAGCAGTGCGCATCCACGACTCCTGCTCTTCGCAGGATTCGAACCCAGGGACCTTTGGCATTGTAGGCGAACGCCTTACCATCGGACCACTGGGCCGGCATCCAACGGTGTTAACGTCTAACTCTGATTGATCTAGGCAGTAACTACCAAAGACAAATGGGTGAGGTCGCGCAAAATCCCTAAGTAGTTAAGTGACTCTTTGTACCAATGTTTATGTATTTCAGTAAATAAATGAAACAAGCTGATACCTATTATTTGTTTTATATGAAAGAATTATCACTCTTTTAAACCTAAGAGTAAGTAATAGAAAATATAAAACCGAATTGCAGTTGCATTTCAGTCTTAGATGAGTTAAGTGATTTGGTGGAACTTTAATGTTTGCTTTTTTCAAACGACTAATCCAATGCTTCCAGGCTTCTTCTAGTGATGGTCTAAGACTGATCGTAACATGATTCCGAAATAATTTTTGCAAAAGAGATAATCAACTGGTTTTAGAAAATGTCACTTTTTTAAATAAAAAAAAACCAATGAATATTTAAAGTTTTATTTTATTTCTGTTATTTTAATAATTAATATCAGTTTGTTAATAAAGTGAATTTTTTGATTGGACAGCAAAGTTTTCATCGTAGATTTTAGTGAGACTACTACTGTTACTAATGAGAAACAAGAAACAATAAGAGAATTTATTTCATCCTATAACCAGGATGTCTTTCTTAGCAATTCGAATCCACAAAAAAAGCCTTCAGAAAAGTATCACTCACACATAGTAAGAATTTAACTTCTTCATATTGACAAGTGAACAACATTCACATTGGTTCAAATCAAATTAAATTGAATCAAATAGAGATATTGAATGACCATGCTAGATTGCTCACATTACCTAAAAGCGGCATTTGACTCTGTTGATCGTGAGGTTCTGTGGCAGTGTCTGTCATTGAAAGGTGTACCAAAGAAGTACATTAACCTTATACAAGCTCTCTACTCGAACATCACTGGTCGAAAGAGGGCTTATGGCCAACTGTCATCGGAATTCTCTACTTCAAGTGGTGTCCGTCAGGGATGTCCACTTTCTCCATTCTTGTTTAATTTTATCATAGACATGCTCCTAGAAATAACCTTATCCTCGTCTGAATTTTCAGGAGTAAACCTTTTACCAGCTGGCTCGCTTATTGACTTAGAATATGCCGATGACATTGTCCTACTTGGTGAAGACGCTGAAAAAATGCAGAGTCTTCTGACTACCATAAGCAACAATGCAAGCATGTTCGGGATGCGGTTCTCACCCTCGAAATGCAAAATGTTGCTTCAACATTGGGTTGCATCGACACCTGAATTAGTGATAGGGAGTGAAGTAGTCGAACGTGTAGACCGCTTCACTTATCTTGGGAGTCTCATCAGTGCCGATGGCCTGGTGACTGACGAAATCTCAGCTCGAACGGCTTTCGCCAACCTGCGTCACTTATGGCGTAGGAGAGATATCCGTTTGCTGAATAAAAGGACGAGTGTACTGTGCAGTGGTTCGCTCCGTCTTACTTTATGGCTGTGAAACATGGCCAGTGAGAGTAGAAGATATTCGTAGGTTACTGGTTTTCGATCATAGGTGTCTTCGAAGCATTGTTCGTATATCGTGGGACACCCGAGTGAGCAACGCTGTTATTAGGACACGGGTGCTAGGTAAGAATGGCAGATCAATAGATGAAGTGGTGAAACTTCATCAGTTGAGGTCAATGGGACATGTGTTACCTATACCTAACCACCGACTGCCTCGACGAGCTTTGTTTTGTAGTGTAGGAATAGGTTGGAAGAAAGTTAGGGGCGGCCAAACAAAAACATGGCACAAATCCATGAAGTCATTGACGAGTGGACTTAGCCATCTAATTAATTGTCGACTACCTGGTTGGGGTCCGCGAGATGATAATAATCGATGGTTAGAGACCTTGAATGACATGGCTCAAAATCGTTCGCAATGGCGCCGGTGCATTTATACTTTGTGTTCTCTCAAATCCTAATCTTCTGGGTTATTCAACAACTCTAGTTTTGACTTTCTAAACTTTTCTTATTAAATCATACTTCTTGAATAATATCTTATAATCCTAACCTCTCCGATTACTTCTAATACCTTTACTACCTCTTCTACTATGGGATTTGAATTGACAATTACATCTCTGTGCTGATGTGGTGTGGCGACATGAACTGATGTACTTACGTACGAAGTTCTACGTTGCAACTGAGTGACTGACTGACTGACTGATTGCTCATATTCCATAACAATCTCACAACCATCTCAGTGAAAGACTGTACTTGTTAGGGGTTTTCATTGCATTAGTTAGAACGCCATTAATCTACAAGCATAGATATATCATGAAAAATAGTAAAATAAAACACAATAATAATAATAATAATAGTAATTCACTTACAGATAATTATTAGTCGATTTATTTGGTATTAAATATTTGTCTAAATTATTTAAAAATATTTTTGATACATTCACTGAATTATATTGTGAATCTAATCGATATAGATCTTTAAATTCCACAGGTTTACGAAATCCTTTTATGATTATCCTAGAATAAAAAAAAAAGAGATAGAAAACCGAAAAATAAAATTAAAACGAACTGAGAATCGGTAGAGATTAATGATGATGATGATGATGATCATAATGAATTGTATAAACTGTAGAGAGCTTGGTAGTTGATCAGTTGAATTTAAGATAGAAATATGTGAATAATTAGATCAATCAATCAGTCAGGAAGGATTTTGTTATTTATGGAAAATTCGCTGTATTGTGCTGTTATGGGGTGTGTGCAGGTGGAATAACACTTCTCGCGTGATCACGCCGCGGAAGAGTATTACTTGAGGGACCGAAAAAAGACGCGGGGTTAATATTGCTCTTAGCGACCATGGAGCATGACAGAAGAGCTCAAGGGAAAACTGCTTGAGGCCGGTCACGCACGGTGTCTTGATGAGAATGTTATAAAGTGTTAACTCCGCTGTTCAAATGGCCTCATCGCCGGAGACGGGTCGACTTATTCTAACCGCTTCCTTCCTTGTCAAATGCCAGCATTGCTGCAGATGCTGGTTGTATGAGAGCAACACCTTACTGCTGTCACACCCTTCTACAGTCAGTAGTACGACTTCGTCCTCAGACCGTAAGTTGTTGCTTTTAAATTTATTGTTCCCCAATCGACCTGCTTGGCATGTTAGGCGCTAAAGGAACATGTTCCAGGCAATATAGTTTGGTTGGGTCATCATGATAGACAAACCAGGCGTTAAAGTAGCAGCTGCGGTCAGGAATAATTGGATAATGAATTAGTGATACATATAAATCGTACGAGACATTGCATACGTATTGAATGTTTTCGTTACAGTTATCTTCGTTTTAAATGGATAGGACAATCAGTTACTTCGATAACACCCAAATGCCTAGATATAGTGAACATTATCTCACATGGCCATACGTATATAGCCACTACCAAAGGATTCCCATTCATTGACTTCTCGTGCAACAAGGCTGTTCTTTATTAAGTTGACAGCATGAAAACCGAATATCAGGCAGAGGCTTAAACTGGGCTGATGTTTAGGGAGGACTCACCTAAGGTAGTTGGAAAACCCTTATTCCAAACTAATGATGTACATGGGCTTTAGGATCCTGACTAAACAAATGGTGTATGAACTTTCTGTTGATCATCGGCTATAATTGGGACTGCATGATCTTATATTGCTCCACTGTCTTGTGGACTAGACCTTTGTGTCTAAGGCTCGCAGAGTGGTCTCCTAAGAAAATCAAGTGCTTCGGTTTGAGCATCCGGACAGTATCCTAGCCCACTTAAAAATTCTACAATTTGTATGACGTATAAATATTTAGGTATCCCTTCATACCAATAGTTTGTTGTTGAAATAAATTTAAATAAAACTATGTCTCTATATACGCCTCTATATATTTAATGAATTCTGTTGAGTTTGTTTTTTTCGGTAAACAAATCATAAAAGCAATAGAGTGTAAAATCAACTTTAGTTTAGGCATACATGGTCTAGTTTACATAAATTTCCATTTATTCTCATGAATATTTATGAATTCATTTGTTCTCATAGAAAATTATCATTTTATTTCTTCTACTTGAGTTCAATTTTCATCTTGTCTTAGTTGACAGACGAAAGATATGTCACCATTAATAAAACTTATGTATTTTGTATTAACTTTGATTAGTTAATCAATCATATTAATATATTTTACATTGAACTGGTATCGTTTTTTCCCCAGCATAAATTATCTCCTTATATTTGTTACTGTTTTAGTGGCTGCGTTAGATTCGATGTCAGGCTTACTACTTAAAGACTGCGTTGAACTCGAAATAGAGCTCATAATTTTAATGGCCTACGAATGACTGAGTATGCGATGAGGTAAATCATCCTTTCAGTTTCTATATATCATACTTACGTGAACACCGTTTGTGTGACAACGGTAATAAAAAGTTAAATACAGATTCAGTTAGATTAATTTATTTCAAACCGCTTGTGCATTGATTTAAGCATGAGCGAATTTTATTCATACATAATAGTTATTATAGCTGATATCAGTTAACGATGAAAAAAACTCAAAATCTTAGTTCAAATTATTTGGATTTTAAGCTTACTTTGGAGTTGCTCAGAAGTTATCCATAAGTTATAGTCTCATTGAAGAAATGGTTTATTCAAATAAGCAAATCGATAAAACTTTTACTTTTGGAATTGTTTTGCATTTGAGTTATTACCACGTTACACAAAGAACTAAGATAATCCAAAGTTTTTTCGGGAATCGACATTCTGTGAACTGAATATAGTTTGTTCGTAAAGGCTTTTATTATCTCTATAGAGCTCGCTCTCTTTCTCTCTCTTTCTAGGCAACTTCATTAGCATCGATTCCGTTCGGTTTTTGTTTGCGTTCACAATGTTATCTAGGCAGATAATGAAAGTTCCACTACCAAACTCAGTAAATGTAACTTCACTAGGAGGACTATTCTCTTGAGCGAAAAATTTTCTGCCTTGTTTGAATAATTATAAGTTTGATTCTCAATAAGATACTAAACTAAGCAATTAGATTTTATTGAAATCATGAACTGATCAAGGTTAGACCAATCATTGGTAACCTGGATCCACTGGATGATCATTTTGTCTTTGAATGAGATATATTATCAGCAATGCACGCATATAAGACATCGCAAGCAAGAATGAAACCTCGCTTGCCTATGTTGTCATTATGTCCGTGAGTAATTTTTTTTATAGAAAATCAAAGTATTCATACACATATGTGTATTCACTAGTTGACTTTGGTTGGTTGCTTTATTTTGCTTATACGAAATATATCATAGACAAGTCAATTATCTGTATCATAGGACGTTGTGGAGAACATTAAGCTACTTTTGAAATCATGAATCGGTCAGTGGTCCAGAGGTTAAACGTTCACGCGCAAGACAGAAAGGTCCTAGGTTCGAATCCCGCGGGTAGCAGCTTTCATGGAGGCTCACTGCTAGTGAGTCTCATACAGTTTTTCAAGGTTTCTAATAGTGGTCTAACATTGATCGATTCATGATTTCAAAAAATCTAATTATCCTAAACATTTGCAACTGGCAAGAGTTGTAACAGCTGCGATATATTTTTAAACGTAGAATTTAATGACAGCACAATTATTGTTCATTAAAACAACATTGGTAGCGTACAGACTTTGAATAAATTATGTATATTTAAAAATGCAAAATTAAGAAAAAACTCAAAAAGAAGAGAATGTACAAGTGAACTAACTCACCTTGTAAACCATGCATAAGTTATACGTGATAAATAGGAACAATTATTTTCCGGAGATTTCTTCTAGATAAGTGTTTGTTTTTTTTTGAAGAAAAAAAAGAGGATAATTCATTGATTTTATTGAATACAGTTTAATTGATTATACAACGTTTTGTGCATAACATAAATTCCCGAGAAAAAAAACAGTTAAAACAACCACATGAAACCAAAACTTAAAACCAAAAACAACTTATGAAATTAAAATAAAGCCAATAGTTGATTCGGGAAAGTCAGACATTAACACTATTGAGTAACGGGAGGCACTGGACGGCCATTTCGTCTTGGTATAGGACTCATCACAAATACGCGTGTTCACGACTCCCGCTACTCACAGGGGTCGAACTCAGGACCTCTGACATACGTGCAAACGTTTAACCTCCAAACCACTGTACCGACATTCAATGGTGTTAATGTGTAAATCTGATTAATCTAAGGATTTTTGCACAACCTCATTCACTGACTTCTGTAGGTAACTGCCAACACCCGACAGGGTTGAAGTCCACTGATCACCTCTTTTCACTAAAATTCCGAGAATTTCCTCATGAAGCTAGTCATCAGTGAGTACAAATTTTGACTTCGCATTATAGACCGAAAAGTTCGTAGGTTCGAATCGGGAGTCGTGGTGGCGTACTACATACAGGTAGTCAGTCCTAAACCATGACGAAATAGCCGTCCCACTGTCTCCAGGTTTCTAATGCTGATCTAACAACGATTCATTCAATACTTGTTAAATACATTCATGTAAGTGCAAAATTATAGGTCAACTATACACAATAGAGTGTAAGTAGCAAACAAGCAAACAAAAGAAAATAATTAGAAAACTCACCAGGCTAGATAACAAAAAGCAATCTCATCAAAGTAGGTTGAAGGTGAGAAAAAAAAAGATGATGTTCAGTGCATAAAAAGAGGTTTAAATTTTCGTACGACAAAGACTTTAATAAAATTTTGGTACACGCCCTTGAACACCACAAAAGTCAAGTTAACTTGATTAATATATTATGACCTACGTCAACTATGTGTTTAGGAATAGAGGATGAGAGATATACATGATCAATTCATATTGGGTTATTGGATTTTTATTTAATTTTTTAATCATTTAAATAGTATGCTCAAAACATTCCCTTAATCTACATCGATGTGAATATTTTGCTCGTTCATTGTTCAATAAAACAAACTTATATCACAGATTAATACACTAGAAAAATGTTTCATTTTGAAAATAATTTCTTAAATAAAAGAGAAAAAAAACTATTACCCAAAAGAATTATTAATAATAAATAACCCAATAGATTCAGTTACTGCTTCCATGTTAAAACTTATTCAACATTGAATAGTAAAGTGTATTTATTATTGAATTATTATTGCAAATGGAAGCTTAAATATCGAGAAACAGCATTCGTTCAGTGAGTGCTTTCAGAGTTAAAAATAAATGGTAATTGATCTAACACTGATCAAAATTCTCATGATTTCAATGAAATCGAGAAATATAAATAGTATCATTTTCATCATATGATGAGCTAATTTCCATCAGGATATTTCTTTTAACAAGCTGCTTATAGGACAAATTGTATTATACACGCAGCAGTTTGCTCCGCACTAAAATACGAGTGTGAAACATGGCCACAAATAATAGAGAATATTTGTAGGTTATTATTGTTGTTCGATCAGGGGTGTTTTCGAAGCATTGCTCATGTATTATTCTACGACCATCGACTAAGCAGTGCTGGTTTTAGAAAAGCGTACTAGGTAAAGATAGTAAATCAATTGATGGGGTAGTGAATTTTCGTCGACTGCGGTGGTTGGGATGTGTGTTATGTATGTCTAACTAACAACTTCCTCGACGAGTGATGTCTGGTGCAGGGGTAATAGACTGGAAGAAAGTTGGGAGCAGCTGAACCAAAATATGGCATAAATTCATGAAATCACTGGCAAGTGGACTGAGTCATGTTAGTAGGTGCAGACTACCTGTTTTGGGGTCCGCGTGACAGTCGTAACCGATGGTTAGAGACTTTGAATGACTAGGCTCTAGGACGTTTGCTGGTGCAAATGCATTCTTCTTCTTCTTTCTAATTATAAACTTCTGGATTCCTCATGACCTATATTTTCTCTTAGGACATACTTCACAAATCATATCTTCGATCTTAATCCTCTCGATAACAGCTAATACTAGTACAACCCCTACGACTATGGGATTTAAATTGAAGATTTCATCTGTCTGTGGTAATGCGGTACGACAATTTGAACTGATGTACGTACGTACGAAATTCAACGTTGTAGCTGACTGACTGACTGATATTTATGAATTTAACTTATTATCAATTAAGTAATTTAAATACTAAATTAATATTTTCATTATGTATGTTTATTTATTTATAGTAGTTGCTTCGGAATTATTCAAAACTGATGCACAGTTTCATCAAAATGATGAATCGATCATTGTTCAACCACCATAAGAAATCTGGAAGCAACTGGTCGGCTATCTCGTCGTGGTGTCAAACTCATCAGCAAAAGGCATCCATAACCCACGCTCATGAGAATCGGACACAGGACCTTTGGTCTCATGCGTGAACGCTGAACCTCTAGAATACTGAGACAGCATCCAACGGTGCTAATGGTTAACTTCAATCAATCCAAGATACTGCGCGTAACCTGACCCATGGTCTTCGGTGTATAACTGCCTACACGTGATAGGGTTGGACTTCACTGCTCATGGCTCTCCAATGCTTCCAGATTTTTAATAGTAGTCTAACAATAATGATCAACTGATCATTTCAATGAAACTCAATAATCTTCAGAACTTTATAATGAAAATGATGCACAAATAATGTTGTCTAAGTCTTTTTTAAATCAACTTATACATACATTATATAAAAAATGCTATCAGTCAATCAGCAACAACGTAGAACTTTCTACGTACGTACATAAATTTATATAACTAAATTACACATTACCACAGAGATTCAATTGTCAATTCAAATCCCATAATAGTAGATGTAGTAAAATTACGTGCAGTAATAGGAAAGATTAGGATTTGAAGATGATATTCAAGAAGTATAATCTAGCGAAATAAAATTGAGAACAAAAAGATGAATGTCATGCGGAATGCGCAGAAGATTAGAATTTAGGAGAACATAAAGAATGGATGCACCCGCAGCACCATTCCAAACGAATTTTAGCCATGTTATTATTCAGAGTTTCGAAGCTGTGGTTACTAATGTCTCACCGACCTCACAACCAGGTAGTCCACACCAATCAATGAACAACACATACATATATATGAAACAACATCATTTACTTACTTGTAAATTTTGTACTTCTACATTGTCATCGTGATCATTTAATTTTGTTTGATTAGTTGTTAACTGTTCTAAAAAATCTTTATCATGTTTTTGATTCATCTTTTTATTATCATCATCATTATCATGATGATTATCAATTACATTGGAGTTGATATTGATAAGTTTATGATTAGTTTTTGAACATTGATCACTTTCAGAATTACAATTCAATATGAAAATAATTAAACAGACAAATAGATTAAAATAATCCAAAATGTCTGGAAAATTTTCTTTACTTTGATTAATGAAATTAGATAGAAATGTATTGGAGTTATTACGATTAGGAATAACAGAGATGGTATTGTTTGTTACAGGTAATTCAGTAGAATTTTGTGAATACTGAAAAAGATCACAATAGAAAAAAAACAAAACCATTTAACAATAATATGAACAAGGAAAAAATTTTATTGATAAATAATTATCGTATTGAATATTATTGTAGAGAAGTGTAATATATACTACATACACTGATAGATCTGTATTGATTGGAATCAGCTGGTAGAGACTTGAAATAAGGTCTTTAGATGTTTGGAACTTATCAGCATGGTATTACTTACAACGGTTAAGAGATCTAGTGCTTGCTATGATACTTGAATCCTTGTAAACCAGTGTCATTAATCAGAGGAGTTCATACTGAGCGAAAAAAAACTGACTTTCTGTAGCGGTGAAATATTTTACACACTGTCAACAATTACTTTTGACCAACGTAATGGATTTCGATAAAGTAATCTATAATTAACAACTCACTGAACGATAACTAAAGGTTATGGATTTATCAGTTAGTCAGTCAGTCAGCTACAACGTAGTGCTGCTACCGTAGCTGCTACCTTGACGTGGTGGTCGGGCTTGCCTATCGTGATGACCCAACCGAGCTATACTGGCTGGAACATATGTTCCTCAAGATTCTACCATGCCAGACAGGTCGATTGGAGAACGATGAGACTAAAAGCAGCTACACAAGGTCTGAGGGAGAAGTCGTACTGCTGATTGCAGAGGGCTGTGACAGCAGTAAGGTGTTTCCCTCGGACAACCAGCATCTGCAGCGATGCTGCCTTCTCACAAGGAAGGAAGGGTTAGAAAAGGTCGACCCTAAAAATGTCACACCTCCCCTAACTCACGGATTTCCGTCTACTTGGGTAAGGGTGCCCACTAAGGGCCTTTAAGAACGGAGCTAATCCTCAAAAAACATTTCACAAAAAGGCCGTGCGTGACCGGCCTCAAGCAGTTGTCCCTTGGGCTCTGCGGTCACGCACCAACACTAATCTATCTTCCTTTTCAGGTTCCTCAAGAAACAACCTTCCACGGTGTGGGCAGCCGGGAAGTGACAACCGCCCTCATACCCGTAACTGACTGACTGACGTAGTGCTGCGTACGCACGTACATCAGTTCAAGTTGACATAACGCATTAGCATATAAGATAGAACCTTTCGTTCAAATCCCATAGTAGTAGAAGTGGTAGAAGTATTAGCGATAATGTAAAAGATTATGGTTCGAAGATATTATTCAACAAGTATCATTCCAGAGAAACAAATTTAAAAATAGATAAGTAAGGGTCTTGAGTTCATGAGGTCGTAAGAGAAGACAAAGAAGGAATACATCGACACCATTGCAAACGATTTCGAACCATATCATTCAAAGTTTCTAAATATCGGTTACGACTGTCACGCTGACCCCACAAACCAGGTAGTCTATACCTATTGACATGGTTCAGTCCATTTGTCAATGACTTCGTGGATTTGTGTCATATTTTGATTCAGCTGTCCCTAGCTTTCTTCCAGCCTACCCCTACATCACAAAACACAGCTGATCCAGTCAGTCGATGGATTTGATTTATAATAACACTGTAAAAATGTTCATAACTCAAAAAAAAAATATAACATGAAACAACTGTCCACCTTTTTTTTTTTAATTTTCAATAGTTCATTTAGTAAATAATGTTTCCATGATATAAACTAAATTTTAACTACTTAGTTCGTCAACAATCTACAGTTGGAATGAAAATGTATGTCATAAAGACATTAAAAAGGAAAAGAACAGTAGTAAGAGTGTATGTGACTATTAAAAACAGACAAATTTTCACATCATTCATTATCCATGTCGAAATCTGTGTATTCAAATAACATGAGAAAAGGTGATAAGGGGACATAAATGAATGCAAAATTTGACTGATTTATTTGCAGTATGTATGAAATAGACAAAACCTTGTAAAAAAAATTGACCTTTATATGTTGTTTTGTTGTTGATAATTTTTATGTTCGATAAATTGAAACACTAATTAATTTTTTTTTTTAAATGAAAGTAAACATTTTGTATACTATAAAAGAAGTGACTAGCTTTTACAATTCGGTATAAAACGCTTATTTCCTACAGTTTTTGTTAGTTGGGCAAATAATAACAATTTGGTTGAGAGAGAATCAGTTATGTGTCTGTCCGTGTGTGATTCCTTCAGTCAGTCAGTCAGTCAGTTGCAACGTAGAACTTCGTACGTAAGTACATCAGTTCATGTCGCCATACCACATCAGCACAGAGATGTAATTGTCAATTCAAATCCAATAGTAGAAGAGGTAGTAAAGGTATTAGAAGTAATCGGAGAGGTTAGGATCGGAAGATATTATTCACGAAGTATGATTCAATGAGAAAAGTTTAGAAAGTAAGAGCTAGAGGTGTTGAAGAACCCAGAAGATTAGGATTTGAGAGAACACAAAGAATAAATGCACCGGCGCCATTGCGAACGATTTTGAGCCATGTCATTCAAGGTCTCTAACCATCGATTATTATCATCTCGCGGACCCCAACCAGGTAGTCGACAGTTACCGACATGGCTAAGTCCACTCGTCAATGACTTCATGGATTTCTGTCATGTTTTGGTCTGGCCGCCCCTAACTTTCTTCCAACCTATTCCTACACCACAAAACAAAGCTCGACGAGGCAATCGGTGGTTAGGCATACGCAACACGTGTCCCAACCACCTCAACTGATGAAGTTTCACCACTTCACCAATTGATCTGCCATTCTTACCTAGTACCCGTTTCCTAATAACAGCGTTGCTCACTCGGGTGTCCCACGATATACGAGCAATGCTTCGAAGACAGCTGTGATCGAAAACCAATAACCTACGAGTATCTTCTACTCTCATTGGCCATGTTTCACAGCCATAAAGTAAGACGGAGCGAACCACTGCGCAGTACACTCGTCCTTTGTTCAGCAAACGGATATCTCGCCTACGCCATAAGTGACGCAGGTTGGCAAAAGCCAATCGAGCCTTCTGTATCCGTGCCGAGATTTCGTCAGTCACCAGTCCATCAGCACTGATGAGACTCCCAAGACAAGTGAAGCGGTCTACACGTTCGACTACTTCACTCCCTATCACTAGTTCAGGTGCCGATGCAACCCAATCTTGAAGCAACATTTTGCATTTCGAGGAGGAAAACCGCATCCCGAACATGCTTGCAGTGTGATTCCTTACATGCATATCAATCAGTGTGGTGTTTTAAATAACTGGTGAATTAGGATTGTTTTTTTATTTGTAAAGTAATTGTTGTATTTATTATTTTGAAGGCATCTATTGCTCAAGAGTTTATTTTAATCAATCGTATATATGCTTTTACACTTTTTCAGAAAATGATAAATTTGGTAAAAAACTATTAAAATAATCCATCAGTCAGTCAGTCAGTCAGTCAGCAACAACGTAGAACTTCGTACATAGGCATAGATTAGTTCAAGTTGGCATATCACATTAGCACACAGAGACGCAATTGTCAATTCAAATCCCATTGTAGTAGAGGTAGTAGATATATGAGTAGATTAGGATTTGAAGATATTATTAAAGAACTATAGTCCAATGAAATAAATTTAAGAATAGAAAGATGAAGGTCATGCGGAATGCAGAAGATTAAAATTTGGGAGAACACAAAGAATGGATGCACCTGAGACATGGCAAACGATTTTGAGTCATGTCATTTAAATTCTCTAACCCATCGGTTCATATTGTCTCACTGACTCCAGTCTACCACTCACTATCCCAGATCTACTGGATATCTTAATCTCGACATCGTCTAACTGTAAGGCTAGATGATTTCTACGTCGAATTATTATGAGGAACATCAGTTATTAGACATAAAACGCTAAAAATATGAATCCATTATTTAATGATAAATGGTGACATGTGATTGATGATTCAAATAATCATGACAAGAATAATATTTAGCTAAAACATACGCTAACATACATTTGAGTTCGCTCATATTTAAATTTGGTTAAGCTTTTCGATTAATTGATTTAACCAAGCCATCAACTTATATGTACCATTCACTTTTACTGTTGTCTGGTTTGTATGAGCTGATACATCTGAACATTGGCTTACCAACTACGCGCATATTCATCCTATTCGCTTTAATGTTAACCTCCTAAATATTTCGTTGACTCAGCCATTTCGCTATGTATATATCTGTACGTTTTAATCGTATTAATTCATTCGCCAATTTCCTCGCTCGCTATCGTACTTGCTCTTCTGTGTGTGTTTGTGGTCTACTGCTCCATTTGTTGTGTGCCGAAATAAACGTATTCAACACTTCGTATTCGCTTTCTGATTTGTAAACCGTCAGGCACTATTTAGTAACAATTGTCTGGACGAGCAAATTACAAAGTCAAAGAACACGTTGGATACCGACAGTCACGAAACTAACTAATTAGTTTTTTCCATACTAAGAATTAGTTCATTCCTTATAGAATGTTGAGTACTAAGACTCACTCATAAAGCTAAACAGCTTTCTTATTTGGGAACCTTTATACGGCTGTACATACAGTTTAGTAAGACGCCACATAAAGTCTACAGAGTTTATTTGGATTTCCGCTGATATTTTATCATGTTACAAGCGTATCAAAATGTAGTTTACATGGATGAAGAATTTGTTTTAAAAAAACCGAACAATTATTTCAAAGGTTTGAGGTTACTTTTCGGTATCATTAGTGTCATGCTATATTGGAAGACGCTACAAATACGTTGGCAATGTGAACTGAAAATTAATGTTATCAAAGAACGAGTTGGGGGCAAGGGTTGAAGAGAGCACAGAATTTTCGAGTTAAAGTCATTATTTAGTGTTCAGTTGACCGAAGGGAAGCAGATGGTTCTTTTTAGGGCGTCACCCCCGAGCCTTTGATCATGAGGTCTAGTGCACAAGGTAGTAGAGCGACGTCAGGAGTTTTAGCCTCATGGTAGTCGCCATTCGTTCCATCAGGATCCTGCAGCTCATATGCACCACTGGTTTTTCAGCTTTGTCCCCACCAACGCAGTTTAAGTATCGGACACTCGCGTTTTGTCCTCCAGATTTCGTAAAAATCTCTGTTGCACGGGAACGTAGTTAATAGGATTTCCCTAGTAGTCTTTATACACGCACGACTATATGAGGTCATCTGTAGAGAGAGACAACTCTCCCCAATCTCGACTGTACCAGGGGCTTCATGAGGAAGTTCTTGTACGAAGCCATGACCAATGAAGTTCAAACATGTCCGGTGTGAACCAGCTACCCAGCGAAGACAATAGATAGTCGCGCAACATCGTGGGTTGGTTCGGGTTAAACAATAGCACCGTTGGAATCTATGGTTAAGAGGTTAAGCTTTCGCACGAGATCGAAGGCCCTGAGTGTTCACTGCCGATGAGTCTCATAACAGGACGAAACGGACACCTAGTTATCCCAGATTTTCAATCGTGGTCCAACATTGAATAATTCATGATCACAATAAAACTTAACAATGTTCACAACCCAATGCCGACTAGACATATATATTGGGAGCTGGCTAAGTACAAATAATAGAAGGCGACAATATAATGAAAAATATTTCATTGAACATAAGAACTAACGGAGAATTACCTAAAGAGACTTGGCATTTGTGTACTAAATCAATATTTATTCTCCTATGCTTACTATATGTTAAGATTGGAACTACGTTAATGAAAATATGCTCTTAGATGTAAAATAAGTAAAAAGGTCTCCGTATATTAATCTTGTACAGATTCAGACATGAAGCTAACCAGCTGAGAAAAACATGTAGTGTGTGTACGTTTTTTATCGAGCCCGTAGGGCTTGTCCAAGTCTTCACACAAATTATTTGATCCATTGTCCCCAAGTTACTATTCCCATATCTTTCGACCTTGTCTATTATTCGCTCAAATTTTGGTTGTTTTTACTCGAGTGTGGATATGTACTGCTGACTTCGATTATCGCATGTCTGGTTTACTCTTGTCTAACCATAATTGCTTAGTCATACCGTCGCTGCTATCTTGACGTGGTGGTCGGGCTTGACTATCGTGATGACCCAGCCGAGCTATACTGGCTGGAACATATGTTCCTGAAGGTTCTACTAAAAGCAGCTACCCATGGTCTGAGAGCGAAGTCGTACTGCTGACTGCAGAGGGGTGTGACAGCAGTAGGGTGTTTCCCTCGGACAACCAGCATCTGCAGCGATGCTGCCTTCTCACAAGGTAGGAAGGGTTAGAAAAGGTCGACCCTAAAAATGTCACACCTCACCCTACCTCACGGATTTCCGTCTCCGGAGGTAAGGGTGCCCACTAAGGGCTTTCAAGAGCGGAGCTAATACTCGAAAAACACTTCAAAAAAGGCCGTGCGTGACCGGCCTGAAGCAGTTGTCCACTGGGCTCTGCGGTCACGCTCTCAGGTCTCTAAAACCAACGCTAATATACCTTCCTTTTCAGGTTCCTCAAGAAATACCCTTCCACGGTGTGGGCAGCCGGGAAGTGACAACCGCTCTCATACTCGTAAGAGCACACGAGACCAAATTTGTCAAAATCAAATGCTTCCTTCACCTCCTAATACCTCTCTTATCTCCACGACTGACTCTTCTCACATTCCTTTATTACACTGCACAGCTAATGCAAACAATGCGAGTTCACGAAACGTCATTTCTGGTCTCCTGAAACCCCGTTCTAGACTACATGTTGGAGCATTTGTCGTACGGACATTGTGTCAAATAGGGCAACAGGCTTCGTTAACTAGAACATTAGAATCTCGCCCAATCGATGTATGCTGCGTCTGGGAAACGCTCATACAGGATCCTAGTAAATTCATTCATTTGATTTCGCTTATCGCATGTCTGGTTTACTTTTGTCTAACGATAAATGCTTAGTCATGCCTAATTGATTCTTTCGCCTACTCCGCTTCACTTTGTTTAAATGCTTTTCATTCTCGTCTGCTGACGACTGCTTGAAATAGATAGACTCATCTAACCAAATCTGTATTTGAACTCTAATTATTACCATCGTCACACAAACAGGGCTCACCTAAATATGACACACGCGGAAATTTGAGCGGGAATTTATTTTAAAGACTACCTAATTTATCGTAAATACCAGAATCATCGCAGGCCACTAAACTATAAAATAGTAAGTCGGACGACGAATATACTGACGCAAGCCACACAAGAATTACACTGAATACATATATACAACATACATTATTAACTAACTAACTAACTAACTAACCTTTAAATATTGAACAGTATGATTCCAACAACAGCATATCCAAATAAAATTTAACCATAATAAATAATAAAAGCATACACCAGAATTTGGTATATTACGTTTACGTTCATAATGTATTAGAATGATAAATAAAATCTAAAAAAAAAAATTTAGTGAACAAAGAAAAAAAAGAAAAAAGAGAGAAAAAGGTGAGAGTAAATTAATCACACAATGTTTCAAAGTGTTATTAAAAGTTATTTATTGAACGCTAATTACATACATAAAAAGAAAATTAAAAAAATTAAAAAAAATAATACCTGAAATATGTAATTATTATTTATTTTTATATTCAAGTAAAAACTAATAATAATTATTACTTTATACAAAAAGAGAAAAAACATTCTTCAGTTCACCGAAAAAAAAAATGATCAAATCATTTGATAATTTAAATGTGATTTACTAAAAACAAAAAAAAAGAAACCAATTCTTACTGATTACTTTCTATTAACTTGTAATTAATATTTATTAGCAGTTTGATTAATTTCTAGCAGTCAATCAGTCAGATGCAACGTAGAACTTCGTACGTAAGTAAGTACATCAGTTCATGTTGCCATACCACATCAGCACAGAGATGTAATTGTCAATTCAAATCCAATATTAGAAGAGTTAGAAAAGGTATTAGAAGTAATCGGAGAGGTTAGGATTAGAAGATATTATTCAAGAAGTATGCTTAAATGAGAAAAGTTTAGAAAGTCAAAACTAGAGGTGTTGAAGAATCCAGAAGGTTAGGATTTGAGAGAACACAAAGCATAAATGCACCGGCGCCATTGCGTACGATTTTGAGCCATATCATTCGAAATATAATAATTTCTAGCAACCATTTCTATTATAAGGTGTGTTTTTATCTTAGCAAAATAATGAGTTTGTAGTGGAACGCTTCTACGAAAAAAAATACGATTTGTGAAAAATAAACATTATTGTACATCTTTTGTTTAAAACTGTACCAAAAACACTGCTACGACTTCTTGCGCACAACGTTCTCTTCGCGTTGCTGCCATCTTTATCTATTTGCTACTCCCCATGTAATGCCAACGTTCTCCTTCAATAAATAACTCAATCATGGATTTATTTTGCTTTCGATATTATGGAACATTTAGTGGTGAGCATAGTCAGTCTGGTATCTGGATTAGCTCACAACAAGTTTAATGTGAATTTTAAGCAAATGTGGTTAAAACATAGTTTGACACTGTGAAGCTATTGAATCGGCCAAATATATAAGAAAAATAGAGTCAATTGTTAAATTACGAAAACAATTTAAAATGTGTACATTGAATGTGAGCTGTTGTTTTAAAAACCTCATAAGTTATAATAAAGTGAATAATACATGTATCTGTTCTACTTAATTGAAGTGTCTGAATAAGTTTATTACTTTATATTGAAACTATAAATTGAAAAAACAACAACCTCAATAAAGAAAAACTACTACTTTATAAAATTGAAAAAAAGGTCAATTTTGAAATAGAAATTGGTTTAGACACTCTTATTAGTATGATTAATGATTTGATTGCTGTTATTCTAACTTTTCAAAAATCAGTTCTGTGTTGAAACTTATGATTCGGATTTTTTTCTTCGAATAGGTGTTACTGTGGTGTAGTATATGACGTGAGTGTCAACGTAATGTCTGGCAGCAGAACATGGGGGAAGGTCAAGAAAGGAAGAGTTAGAACGCAATGGAATTTGTATGAAACGCATGAATAGTGACAATCGATTGATGTTTTGCAACAGGAACAGTCCAGTTCGATACGATGAACTGATATTTTGCAAATTAACGATTTACGATATGGTTTTCCGATTTTACTGAGTAACCCTGTAATTTTCATTAAATACAATTCGGTTGCCCCACCTGTGTTCCCCTTCACTACATTACTATTAATTACATAATCGTTGACTGAGTTATTCTTTGATAGTTGTTTGAATCGTACCCAGTGGGAAGGGGATAAAACTCCATCATATACAAGATTGAGGTAAAAAAGAACTACAGAGAGTTCGTGCAGGTAATTTACTTCTCAGAAAAACTCCACTCATCACTTATCAGTAATACAATTGTCAGTATCGACATAATACACCATGTGGTGCATAACTATTTCTAAAAACACGGCTTACTGATTTAAGATTGTTTGAAACCAAATAACTCCTGGGATCACGTTAACCCAGATAATATGCTAGTCTTACAACTATACATGGATATTTTTTACTATGATAATAAACTAGTTGCTGAAGAGAGTAACACATCTTACGATAATGGGTCTTAAGACTTGCCGCAATTTCATCAATTAACAATCGATGTACGACAAAAAGCTTGTTTTCGTCAAAGTGGATGACATTTGGTGATAAATGACCGCTTGGATAAATCTGTGGAATAACGAAGTTGTGTGTTTACAAGATACATGACCATAATATTGAGACTAATACTCCGCTCTTTGACAGCCAACTTTATTCCTTATGTTGTCTCAAAAACAGCAAATAAACGTTCCCATACCAGCAATAAAAATCTCACGAACGCAACTCATTTTTCAAAAGATTGTTTTACAATCGCAGCAGTATAACAGTTGAAGTAGTTAAGAAGTACATTTTTAAACGTTAACGAAAATCATGATTGTTATTCTGTTCCTAGTCTTTGCCTTTCGATACGAAAGCTAATGTAAGCTTAATGTTTATTTTATCTCAAAATGCTAACACTAATAACCAGTACGTTAGAAAAACTACTCGTTTTCAGGGATTCTCTAATTACAAAACCAAACTTGTGTGGTTTCTAAAGTTTAATCTTTTATTTTTCTACACCATATGGATAGTAGATTAATTTTTGGCTAATAAGAGTCTTCTCATACCTTCCAAGCATTTTATTTATTTCTAAGATTCCGATTATTTAACAACTTTTTACTGTTAACTTTAACTACTTTCCATTGTAGTAACGACAATTGTGTTTTCAACTGAAATTAAGTGCAACCATTATGTTTATATAAGTGTAGATCAACGTCCGATTAAAACATCTAGACTATTAACACACACTTTCTATCTACGACGAAGGAAGGGAACACTTTGGTAACTATTAATTAAAGCTTGTGAATATAACCCTAGAATCAGCTATCAGAATAGGCAGTCACTAAATTACATATATGGCTACTTGAAGATCATCACTTCTGAAGTGAACTCTCATAGTTATGCAATTATAAATTTCCAGTGTAAGAAATGTTTACGACTCGAAAAATGAGCCGATTAACAATATCATTATAAAAGATCAGCATGCCAAATGAACCCCAGTGGACGATAAACTTTAGAACATCAATTTGATATAGATAAGATGATACTGCCGTTTGTCTAACCGACAGAGGTGATGATATAAAGGATATTAACGATAGTGACGCCTTTTAAGAAGCGTACGAAAAATCAATTGCAGATGGGTTGACATAATCTACCTGTTCTTTCTATCTAACGAAAGACGGCTGGCAACGATCACCATTATATCAAGACCCATTAGGATAAAGTACTACTTAGCTTAGTTACATCAGATAAACTTTAATGAATACGTATTAGGCTACCTGGAAACACTTCCCGATATTACGTTCTATTTTGTGAAGAAATACTATACGATATTAAGGAATGGTAAACCCGTATTGTTTATAATTAAGTAGCAACTGATTTAGACAGATTAGCGTAAGATGGGATAACTTTTCAGAATAAGTGCCAAAAGATTCAGCTTTGGTTTCATGACATGAGTCCTAAGGTGATGACGGCAAATTGTAAATAAACACATTCATGATTAAGTAAATTGAGTAATGAATATCTAACACTAGATCATAAGATGACAGCCAAACTTACGAGAGAAACTGATATTGAAGTGGGTTTAATGAATGAATATAAGGTGAATTCATGTGTTCCAAATACGATATAAAGGATTCCAACAATATTTAGAAGCAGAGAAATGCAAGCTAAAATCTAAGAAAATTTGGTAAATAAAAGAACTTCCTTACCAATTTACCCAGATATAAGCATGAAATTAAACGACTGTAACTTGATTTTGAAAGTATTACGATTAAAGTATGGGGCACTAATGCCAACAGTGTGAATACAACAAGTGTTAAGGGGAAGAGAGTTTCAATTCCACAATCAGGAAAAATAGGTAAGTTTTGATTCCACTGATGCACCCATTCACTCTAAAACATTTATCAGTTTCACAAACCCAACCTACTTCACTTTCATTTTGACAGAGATACTCATCAAGAAAACTCATCTCCTAAACATGCAATTGGAAATATCAGCATGAAGGTTATATGTACTCATTGAGTTGGTTGTTTAATCAAAACAACGCAGCACAATTGATTTTCGTGTTCTACCAAAAAGATAACGAATGCCTTTATTACTCTTTCATGGTACCAAACAATCAGCTTTTATTATATTTTTATTGTATTATGAGTTAAGCAAATGGGTCAAAGGGTTAAAAATGAAAAGGGCTTTTGCGTAAGGTGCTTCCGTTTCTGTTTGCAGAGAATATCCGATACCTCCAGGAAGAGTAGCCATAATAAAGATTCAGAGAACGAAATATGGCAAATCTGACTGAGACAATGCTTTGATGCCTCAACAATATGGCGAAGTTCTCCTTGAAGATTTGAGCCGTCGCCGATACCACTTCTAACAGTAGTGAATCCTCATAACTGACTGCTCGTTGGGAGTAGGTATACCCATAGCTAGGTTTGCTATGACCTGTCTCTAACACCTGAGTATTGCTCCAAATATATGTGTTAAGACTAAGATCAATAGACAAAAATATCTAGTTATTTAATAGTTTGATAGACGAGTATAACTTGATCTAATACTGTCCCTAGAACGAAAACACGGACTAAAAACAGGAACTAAGTCCAGTGTTGTAAACCGTAAAGGATAAACATGTATCGGCTGATGGAAGAAAGGCTTGAGCGTAAAGTTGTGTAAATTTTTATCAATCCAAAATAAAAATCAAGGGAATTTAGTGTCAAGATACCCAGATATTTTTGAACATGCCACGGATATTCTGAACAAGACAACTCACATGTCCACAACTCCCTTCTATTAGAGGATTGTATATTCAATCAAGTAAGAAATCACGAGTAAAAGGGTTTGAAGAAAGATCTGAAAGAGAGTTCATATGCCGAGAAGTGTGTAATCTGGACTAAGACTTTGTTGCATGGAATACGTAGCACAGTGTATGCCTTAGTAGTCTGATGCAGACGTTTCTACCAGCTCAACCAGCTAAGGTATATTCAGCTTACTTAGTGAGGTCAACATCACTACTAAAGACTTAGTAATCTACTTAATTTAGGGATATTTTCAGCGTTACAACTTTATGACTAAGTTTTCGTATTTACTGCACGTTTTCATCATCAGTAACGAATGTCTGTCATTTTTATAAACGTCTTAATCCACATGGAATGAATCGACTTCAGAAAGGTAGTGAAATCAGTATGGGGTTTAAAACATGGATCTAAGAAGCGGAAAACATAGTGGAGTAAACTCAGAATCGTTAAGAGGTTGTCTCTTCACCAATAACAAAAGGCCTGAGAAAGAAGAAATGTTATGGTTGACGGGTATGTGCGGATCCAAACAATTAAAACTCATCATATGCTGATCAATAACTTTCCGCTCCCTCCTTTTCGATTTTAAACTTTTTCAGACTGATGTTTTGATCATAATTATGTCTTATACCAAAGTTTTGTCCCACACCCTGTTAAAGTGGGCTAATAATATAAGCTCCAAATACAATATGTTGAATATTTAAAGCTGGTATGCTGTTAGTGAAACATCAAGTCAATATTGCATAATAACATAGGATAAATAATAGAATTACAGCTAAAATAGCTTGAAAGGAACGAACTTATAGTCAGAAGAGTTGGAATCAAATGATCTTATGTCAGAGAGTTGAGAAATGAAAATCAACAGCCGGACAATAACATGGATCGGGTGTGAAGATGACATAGAATGCGAGAAACGAACTTAAACGGCTAGGGATGTGCAAACTCAGAAATGTCACCGTACCTACACCAGAAATCAACAAGGCCATAAGTTGAACTAAGCTCAGCAAGGTTGCAGAAACAGACAACACAATAGCTGAAGCACTGAGTTCGGCTAAAAATGTGTCACGAGGATGTCCATTGTCCTATCCATAATTATTTAAGTAGAAAAACTAGTATCAGTAGGTGTCGTAAAAAGCAGATTTTATTACGTTGGGGAACTACGAGCATCATGCGATTGGTAATTTTCCAGAGGCATTACTAGACCAAATATTCACCAGCCAACCAGCATAAAGGCCAACAACCCTTATATCACAAGCAACCTGTAGAACATTATGGTGTTTCTGAGATTATTGTCGTTCCAACATGAAACTCTAACGATAGACTACTCTTCGAAGTTGTGCGTTCACAGTAGCAAACATATACATTACGGGTACAGACCGCTGCTTACTGTTGCCTTTTTCCTTCTTTTGGAAATTGACTGCGTTATTAAGACCAGGACACCTCAAGGGTAGGGCGAGACTTATTTAGAAGCTCGGATACAGCTAGGCGATTTAGACTTCACATATGATTTTCCCCTCAAACTACTTTGATAACAACAAAACAGATGAGGAAAGTCAGTATGACAAAGGCTAACTCATTAATAGTTCTCAACACTCACGACAGTAAGAACAAGATCTTGTGTTACGACTCAGTGAACATCTACCGAATTTCCGAAGCTCAGAAAAATGTTTAAGTCTGCACATAGAATACATTATTATAGACAGGCAGAGAAAATCCAGTTCAGATGCTAAGACGCGGATCAGTAAGTTGAAATAATTATTATAACAAGTGAAAACATCTGGAACTTCAAACCAGAGACAGAATATTTAATATTAGGACATAAAGCCTAAAAGCAGTTAACAACCATGACCATTTTCAAGAAGGTTCCAGTATCCTTAAATATCTGTCTATACAAGATATTCCAGATTTACTGACCGAAATCCATCAGGAATAACCAGATATGAAGAAAATAGACCGATTACCACACCTTTGGGATATTACAAAGGGATGGTGATGATAGACGCTACTCACGCTAAAATGCAATACAAACTATAGCTTCGAATCCGTCAGACATAAGAGAAAGATTCTAATCAGAGAACAGAGTATTCAGAATCTAAGAGGTGTTTCAAGATCAGAAATAAAAATCGGTGACAACTGAAAAATAAAGCCTAAAACAACGTAGTTTGCAGTTTCCAAGTCGTCGACCCATAATACGCCAGGGATAACAGATTATGATGCAAAAGGTTTAGGCACCCGTCATAGAATCTCTGGACGGTTTAGTTTTCATGCGCGATTTAGTGCTTATCGGTTTCCCGTGTGTTTTGAACATCCATATGGTTTACGTTTGGGCTATGGAATTGCTCGAGAATATTTTTGTAGATAATTCAAACAGTTTAAGCTCTACCCTGGAAGTTAGAAGGACTTCAGTCAGACAGTCATGACGTCTCATGAAGAAGGCCGAGTTCCTTAAGATTCACGCGGCCCAAGCTTCTTCTAATTATCAGATCAATCATTCTGCTAAGTGGAATGATGGAACAATGTGGTAGACCGGAAAATGTTACAAATTCCCACAAAGATGATAACAAAATCAAGCTGGCGATGCTTGGAATGGGTGAAATCCATTTGAACGCATACTGGACAAAGAGGATTATCTTCAGCAGAGATGCTGTTATCCTCTGGACTTGAAGAAGAAAATGCTTTCATCCAACGAGTTGCACTGATGCTTTCTATACAAACAGGAAAGGAACTTATCAAATGGGAATGGAATGAGGTTACCAAAGTACTCGAAACAAAGAAAGAGGTGACTTCGATGTAGACCACAAAGAGCATTTTTATCAGAAGCTGCACTCAGTATTCGAGTAACTCCAAACAAAGGATTTGGCCATTCTGATGGATGACCTAAACGCCAAGTTTTGAATGAACAACACTGGATATTATAACATTGTGGGACGTCATGGACTGAGAGAAAGGAACAAAAATGGTGAGAGATTTGCAAATCTACGTGCCTTTAACAAAATGGTCATAGGCGTAACCTTGATCCCACATACACGCATTCACAAAGCGACACGGACTTCACCGGATCACAATACACAGAACCAATTCCACCACATGTGAAATGATTAAAAGTTCAGGAGGACCATAAAGGATATGAGAACTAAAAGGAAGAAACTGATATAGCCTTAGTGTTACGGGAGAAACGAAGACATTTTGCTGATCAAAACCTTCATGTATAAATATCATTAATTTCACTGTTTTTGGGTACATTTGTTTTACTTAACTTGTGAACTTGTTTGAATTATTATTTGCGGACATTTTGGACTCCCGTTTCTCTTTGTTGTTCGTTTGCAGTTTTTTGCTCCAAGAGCTAATAAATTAGAAGAACGACATTGGTCGTCTATTTGTAATACAGTATTTTGGTCGAATTTGTGATTTGGAATAAACTTTGGTATCTACTTTGGAGTTTCGTTCTTGGTTTAAAATTTGGGACCGTGAATTACAAATAGTTCGACAACCGTGCTTCGTAGAATCAACGGGCAAAAAACTGGACGTAACACTTAGATCACCACTTGCCGGTCGCCAAGATGAAACTGAAACTCATGAAGCACGGGTTAACATTATCACAGTAATTTGATTCAGCCTTTCTTCGGGATACTGGAAAACTCAAATAAATCATGACAGTTCTCAGCGATAAGTTCTAGGCCTTGAACTATCTACTCGATCACGAGGAGACAACGATGGAGAACAACGAGAAATTGATCCAGGAATCGAAACCCAAAACATGTCATGATGTTGTGAACCACAAGTGGTTCCATCACAAGGAATGCATCTTTGTGGATACGCTGGATAAGATTCAAGAAGGGAAGAATAAGAAAGCAGCAACCAATATCAGCCGAACAAGAGCAGAGAAAGCAAAAGCACCTTTTGGATTCTCAGCAACAAACAAGCTGGTTAATATAAGGATCATATCCAAGAAACATAGATATGTAAAACAATGAGGAATTACTACGATATAGTCTGCAATTTATGGAATCATTTGATAGTTATTACTTACTTACAAACTCACGTCTGGTACTCTCTATGGAGTATCGTCCTCCCACCAGCATTTTCCGACCTACTCTGTCCTAGGCTTCCCATTCCAGTTCAGTCCGATTTTTGTTCATTCTTCTCATGTCTGTATCCATTTCTCGGCGTAACATATTCCTTT